AGAATACAATACAGGAACTCTGAGAAGTATGCACAGGTTTAAACACTCGAATTGTTCAAGCAGAAGAAAGGCTATCAGAGGTCAAAGTCCAACTTAATGAAAAAAAAGCGAGAAGACAAGATTAGAGAAAAAAGGATAAAAAGGAATGAGCAAAATCTCCAAGAAATGTGGGACTATGTGAAAAGACCAAATTTACATTTGATAGGTGTACCTGAATACAACAGAGAGAATGAATCCAAGCTGGAAAATATTCGTCAGGATATTATTCATGAAAATTTTCCTAACCTAGCAAAGCAGGACAATATTCAACCCCAGGTAATACAGAATGCACCACAAAGATATTCCTCAAGAAGAGCAACTCCAAGGCACATAATCATTAGATTCACCAGGGTTGAAACAAAGGAGAAAATACTAAGGGCAGCCAGAGAGAAAGGTCAGGTTACCCACAAAGGCAAGCCTATCAGACTTACAGCAGATCTCTCAGCAGAAATTCTACAAGCCAGAAGAGAGTGGGGGTCAATATTCAACATCCTTAAAGAACAGAACTTTCAGCCCAGAATTTCATATCCAGCCAAACTAAGCTTCACAACTGAAGGAAAAATAAAATCTTTTATGAACAAGCAAGTACTCAGAGATTTTGTTAGCACCAGGCCTGCTTTACAAGAGCTTCTGAAAGAAGCATTATACAAAGAAAGAAACAACCAGTATTAGCCTTTCTAAAAATATACCAAAAAGTAAAGAGCATCAACATAAAGAAGAATTTACATCAACGAATGGATCATCAAATGGCAGTAATCCTAAATTTAAATTGACTCAATCCCCCAATCAAAAGATACAGCCAAAACCCAACGGTATGCTGCATCCAGACCCATTTCACATGCAAGGATACACAAAGACTCAAAGGGATGGAGAAAGATTTACCAACCAAATGGAGAGCAAAAATAAATAAATAAATAAAAAGCAGGAGTTGCAATTCTCATATCTGATAAAATAGATTTTAAAGCAACAAAGATATAGTGGTAAAAGGATCAATGCAACAATAAGAGCTAAGGATCCTAACACGCAGATACATAGAGACTTAGACTCCATGAGACAGAAAATTAATAAGGATATCCAGGACTCGAACTCAGATCTGGAACAAGTAACCTTAATAAATATTTATAAAGCTCTCCACTTCAAATACACAAAATATACATTCTTATCAATACCACACATCACACCTACTCATAGGTTTAAATGAAATATTGATTGGCCATTATTAATACCCATTTTTTTAGAATAAAGCAACATTTCCGTTCTCTCTCCCTCTTTTTCTTCCTCTTTCTTCCTCTCCTTCACTCCTTTTTTTTTCTTTCCTCCTCTCAAAAAAAAAAAAAAAAAGAAATCAACTTGTAGACCTCTAGATCCAGGTCGGCAATATCTCTCTCACTGCCTGATTTCCTTCTTTCCCTTCTCTCCCTCCGTCCCTCCTTCCCTCCCTCCCTCCCTTCCTCCCTTCCTACAAAAAAAAAAAAGAAAGAAAGAAAGAAAGAAAGAAAGAAAGAAAGAAAGAAAGAAAGAAAGAAAGAAAGAAAGAAAGAAGAAAGAAAGGGTCTTGGCTGATGGAGGAGTGGGGTGGGGTTTTGATCTTGTTTAAGTAAAAACAATGTCTACCGGAGAGTTTCCCCAATACCAAACCTGCAATTTACAGGAAGGTGATTTAGGAGGCGCCAGTCAGCCATCCTTTTCTGCTATTGAAATGCAGGGTGGAAGTCAAGGGGGAGGTGATCCTAGATGCCTGGGTCTCCTTCCTCAACTTGAGCCCAGGAGTTAGAGACCAGCCTGCGCAATGTGTCAAAGCCTCGTCTCTTCAAACAATACAAAAATTAGCTGGGCATGCAATGCCTGTGTTTGGTCCCAGCTACCCAGGAGACTGAAGTGGAGGGATTGCTTAAGCCCAGCGGTTCGAGGGTACAGTGAGATGTGTCCATGCCACTGCACTCCAGCCTGGTGACCGAGTGAGACCCTTTCTCAAAAGAAATACAAAAATAAAATAAAATATGATAGAAATAAATGCTTACAATGTGCCAGGCATAGTGTTATGCTGAGAAGGCAGTGGTGACCAAAAAGACAGCCACATGCGTACACACAGTCCTTGCTTTTACAAAGCCTGCAGTTCAAGAAAGAAAAGTAAAACTAATGAAAAACTGTGAGTTTACTACAGGGAAAAGTGCTATGGACGAGAAGTCCATGGCACTGTGAAGGTATTTCACAGGAGGGCCCGGCCTGGTCAGGAAGGGTGGGAGACGTTCCCTGAAGAAGTAATGAATGAGCTGCTTGGAAAGGAGGAATTAAAAAGATAAAAGGAGGGCGTGGTGGCTCACGCCTATAATCCCAGCAATTTGGGAGGCTGAGGCAAGTGGATCACGAGGTCAAGAGATCAAGACCATCCTGGTCAACATGATGAAACCCCGCCTCTACTAAAAATAGAAAAATAATAGCTGGGTGTGGTGATGCACACCTGTAGTTCCAGCTACTCGGGAGGCTGAGGCAGGAGAATTGCTTGAACCCAGGAGGCGGAGGTTGCAGTGAGCCGAGATCACACCATTGCACTCCAGCTTGGGTAACAAGAGCAAAACTCCAGCTCAAAAAAAAAAAAAAAAAATTAAAAAGATAAATGGAAATTGCTGGGAAGGGGAAGAAGGAGGAGGGTGTGGTCCAGGCAGAGAAGTGCAAAGGCTTGGCAGCATCCAGGGAAAGAAAAGAAGGCCAGTGCAGGCAGAGCACAGGAGCACAGGACAATGCAGGGCTGCAGGAAGAAGTCAGGCCCCAAATCAGGGAGGCAGATTTGAATCCAGTATCTCCTTGCTGACCAGTTGTGCAAATAAAGCCTTTTTTTCCCTCAAAAGCTTCCGCCACATAGTATGCAATCTGTGCATTCATTGAGTAGAGAGCTTATTTGCTTGATAACAAAACAAGCTATTAATACCTACTATTTCTGTTATTATCCATTCCCCTAGCTCCCACCATGTTAAATATTCCTGTAACTTTCATTTCTACCTTAACATTTTCTTTAATCTATCTGATAAGCTTTGGCCTAGAAGCTATCTGCCACAGTTATCTTCCTTTAATATCACAACCATCTACCCAGTCATCCAAATCAGAAACCTGGAAGTTAGCCTTGATTCTGTTTCTTTACTTCCTATGTCAAAATCATAAAATTTTTTTTTTTTTTTTTTGAGACGGAGTTTCGCTCTTGTTACCCAGACTGGAGTGCAATGGCACGATCTTGGCTCACCACAACCTCCACCTCCTGGGTTCAGGCAATTCTCCTGCCTCAGCCTCCTGAGTAGCTGGGATTACAGGCACATGCCACCATGCTCAGCTAATTTTTTGTATTTTTAGTAGATATGGGGTTTCACCATGTTGACCATGATGGTCTCGATCTCTTGACCTCGTGAGTGCAAGGCCCATCTCTTGACCTCGTGAGTCCAATCCCAGAGTGCTGGGATTACAGGATTGAGCCGCCGTGCCGGGCCAAAATCATAAAATTCTTATGCTTTCTCCTGAATAGTTCCTTTATTCATCCTCTCCTGCCTCTCTCTTCCTCCATTGCTCCAATTTAGACTCTAGATTTCCATCTTTGCCTTACAAATGGTCTCTACTTCTAACAGTTTCCATATATTTGTCCAGGATTTTTCTTTTTTGCGTGTGACTGTGTCTCTCTTTGACATCCATGCTGGAGTACAGTGGCACAATCACAGCTCATTGCAGCCTTGACCTCCTGAGCTTAAATGGTTCTCCCGCCTCAGCCAGCCAAGTAGCTGGGACCGTAGCCATGTGCCACCCAACCAGCTAATTAAAATAAATTGCATTTGCAGAGATGGAATCTCACTATGTTGCCCAGGTTGGTCTTGAATTCCTGGACTCAGACAATCCTTCCACAGTGGACTCCCAAATGTTAGTATTAGGGGCATGAGCCACAGCACCAGGCTTAGATTATTTTATTCACAAGAGATGTAAAGATTATTTCAATTTATATACAAGTCAACTAAAGAAAAAATAAGGCTTTTAAAGACTCAAAGTTAGTTTTTTTCAGAGTCTTACTGAGGAATGCCACCCTGGAGAGTCTTTCAAAGAGTTTATGTTAGACTGCTCCAGAGCAGCGTTTCTGCCCACAGTTTTTATATCAAGGGGTGGAGTTCTGGATGCGCTCAAAAGTTACATTAAACATGCTCAGAAGTTACATTGGAGCAAAATCTCATCAAAGTTTTGGTTGGAGAGTACATCTGGTTATAGATTACAGAGACATAATCAAAATCATTAATCCTGTCAGTCGTTATCTTATGTACAGGAAGAGGCAAGGGCCAGGATCACTGAACGTATCTTTTTTAAAAAAATGAAGTGATTCAAGCAACAGATGTGGAAACCTGTGCTCTATTCTACTTATTGTCTGTAGGGCATTCTTCTGGAGGACTTCGTTCAGTCACTGAGTCAAGGGCTTTGTGAAATTCCGCTGGCAACAGAATGAGTAAACAGTTTTCTTCCGCTTCGTACTTTGTCTCACATACATGATTTCCTGTGCTCAAACCTGGCAGGAAAGATTTTTTTAAAAATTTTCAATCTTTTCTCTATAGTAATCCTTCACTGGGTTTTAAGTCAGTGTGTTGTTATTTTTTGTTATTATTTTTTTTTTTTTTGACGGACTGTCAAATTGTTAAACAAGTTTCCTTTAAGGTTAAAATCACCTAGTCTGAATAAATTCTGATGTAAATATAATTCAATAAATTATGATATTTTCAATTTATGATGGATTTATTGCGGGGAGGCGGTAACCCTGTCGTAAGTCGAGGAGCTCTGCACAAGTTCAAAAATACCGTTGGGCTTTAGCCGGCCTTTAACCCATTCTTTACTGGACTTGTCAACTTCCGTCAGGATTGGTAACCTAGCAACCAAGCAGCACCAGCAGAGACTTCCGGTACCCAAACTTGGGTTATCCAATCAGCTTAGCGGAGTTACCGCAGAGGCTGATGGGACGCTGGAGCCTGGGCGGCTGCTAGCGTCGGTACCATGGCTACGCGCGGTGGGGTTGGGGTGGCAATGGCGGCTTGGTCCCTTTTATCTGCCCGAGCCGTGACTGCGTTCCTTCTGTTGTTACTCCCTCGCGTCTTACAGGCCCAGACCTTCTCTCTCCCTTTCCAGCAGCCGGAAAATTGCGATAACAACCAGTACTTTGATATCTCCGCGCTCTCCTGTGTTCCGTGTGGAGCTAACCAGAGGCAGGATGCCCGAGGTAAGACGGCTTGAAGTGGGCCCTGGCAAAAGTAACACTTCCGCTTTGGTCTGCCCCTAGTCTCTGGAGTCATTCAAACACCTTTTCGTCTGCAGTAGAAATGTATCAGAAAAGTTAACCGCGGAAGTCTCAGAAGAGGGTTTTCTGGAAGGATTGCAGTTTGCACACGAATGAAGTGGGAGATTCTGAGTCGGCTACCCAATGAACCGTTGCCTGTAGTTCGTTTCTCGGTGCCAGTCCCCGACTCCTCATACGGGGGTCTTCAGGGCGACACCCGGAATGCTGTTTACCGAAGATAGAGAAGAACTAGTAGAGAAGTAATCTGAGGTAAACGGGAGCAGGTGACAGGAAAGATTAGGGAGGAAGAACAAACTAGCACTTGTGAACCTCAATAGCCCTACATCATTTTTTCCTTTCTTTGTTTCTTTTTTTTTTTTTTTTTTTTTTTGGACGGAGTCTCGCTGTGTCACCCAGGCTGGAGTGCAATAGTGCGATATCGGCTCACTGCCACTTCCACCTCCCGGGTTCAAGCGATTTTCTTGCCTCAACCTCCTGAGTAGTATGTATGTATGTATGTATATACAGGCGTCCGCCATCACGCCCGGCTAATTTTTTATTTTATTATTTTATTTTATTAGAGACAGGATTTCACCATGTTGGTCATGCTGGTCTCAAACTCCTGCCCTTGTGATCTGCCCATCCCAAAGTGCTAGGATTACAGGCATGAGCCACTGCACCCGGTCAGCCCTACATTTTTCTTTTCAAATCCCAGACGTTTAGAACTGGAAAGGACCTTAATCATAATCAGATCCAGTCTTCTCATTTTACGGATAAGGACATTCAGGCCCAGATGGGGACTGAAAGAATAAATATCCCTGCTCTCAGTCTTGACCTATGTGTTTTCACGATTCCTCCCTCCCTCCTTCCTTTCCTTTCTCAGTCTTGGCCTGTGTGTTTTCACTATACTGTTTGTTTCTTTCTCTCTCTCTCTCTCTCTCTCATCTCTCTCTCTCTCTGCCTGTGTGTTTTCACCATACCCTCCCTTCCTCCCTCCCTCCCTCTCTCTCTCTCTTTCTTTTCTTTCTTTGTCTTTCTTTCATTTCTCTTTATTTTCTTTTATTTTAGTTTCTTCTCTGACAAAGTCTGGCTCTGTCACCCAGGTAGAGTGCCCTGGCTCAATCTTGGCTCACAGCAGCCTCTACCTCCTGGCCTCAAGCCATCCTCCTCCCACCTCAACCTCCCAAATAGCTGGGATTACAGGACCTCACCAGTTTTTTTGTAGAGATGGGGTTTTTGCCATGTTGAGGCTGGTCTCAAACTTGTGAGTTCAAATGATCATCCACCTTGGCCTCCCAAAGTGCTGGGATTAAAAGAGTGAGCCACTGAGCCTGACCCATACTATGCTGTATGCCTCTAATACAGATTTCCTTAGGACTTGTCCTTTTTATCATAGAATATTACTCATTATTCTTAAGGTCTCTTTAGATTAAATCTATTTTTTATACCTAAAACATCATTTGTTCCTAGTTCTCACTGAAACTGCTCAGAATGTCTTTTCCCATATTCTAAAGTCTAAGATGTTTTCTTTTCTTTTCTTTTTTGAGACGGAGTTTTGCTCTTGTTACCCAGGCTGGAGTGCAATGGCATGATCTCAGCTCACCGCAACCTCCGCCTCCTGGGTTCAGGCAATTCTCCTGCCTCAGCCTCCTGAATAGCGGGAATTACAGGCACGTGCCACCATGCCCAGCTAATTTTTTGTATTTTTAGTAGAGACGGGGTTTCACCTTGTTGACCAGGATGATCTTGATCTCTTGACCTCGTGATCCACCGGCCTTGCCCTCCTAAAGTGCTGGGATTACAGGCTTGAGCCACCGCACCCGGCAAAGATGTTAAGATGTTTTCTATCTCAATTTGGTCACCCATGTTATTAACTTTCTGGCATGTTCAGCTTTGACATATCCTCATTTAAGTTCTCGAACAGGTCAGGCTACACATGTATGGCAATATGAATGAGAAAGCATTTCAGAAGTTAAAATGTAAGATATTTTTTCATATTTATGAATATGGAAAGGTATAGTTCCATATCTATGAATCCAGATATGGTATGTATTATACTACATAGACTCCTATGAGTGCTGCTTCTACCTAATGACTCCTTAGAGAATGCTGTCCTTATCTATACTGCAAATTGAATAGTGATTATCTTACTATGTTTACTATCTATCTTAACAGAGAGAAACAGTGATTTATTTGAATGAAGGCAACTTCCCTAATAAGGAAAGTAATTAAGAAAATGAGTTTTCTTCTCATTTTACAGATAAAGACATTGAAGCCCAGATTGGGAACTGGAAACATTCATATTTGTTTGCTCTCAGTGTTGACCTATATGTTTTTACTATACTGTATATTTCTTTTTTTTATTTTATTTTAATTAATTAATTTATTTATTTATTTGAGACGGTGTTTCACTCTTGTTACCCAGGCTGGAGTGCAATGGCGTGATCTCGGCTCACCGCAACCTCTGCCTCCTGGGTTCAGGCAATTCTCCTGCCTCAGCCTCCTGAGTAGCTGGGATTACAGGCATGCGCCACCATGCCCAGCTAATTTTTTGCATTTTTAGTAGATATGGGGTTTCACCATGTTGACCAGGATGGTCTCGATCTCTTGACCTCGTGATCCACCCACCTCGGCCTCCCAAAGTGCTGGGATTACAGGTGTGAGCCACCGCACCCGGCCCCTATTTCTTTCTTTTGTTTTGAGAGGGAGTCTTGCTTTGTTGCCAGGCTGGATGCAGTGGCCCAGTCTCGGCTCACTGCAACCTCTGTCTCCCAGGTTCAAGTGATTCTCTTGCCTCAGCTTCCGGACTAGCTGTGATTACAGGCGTGCACCACCATGCACAACTAATTTTTGTATTTTTAGTAGAGACAAGGTTTCACTATATTGGCCAGAGTGGTGTTATTTTTAGTAGAGACAGGGTTTCACCATGTTGGCCAGGATAGTCTTGATCTCATCACCTCGTGATCCACCCACCTAGGCCTCCCAAAGTGCTGGGATTACAGGCATGAGCCACTATGCCTGGCTGTATGTGTGTATGTATGTATGATTTCCTTCCTTCCTTCCTTCCTTCCTTCCTTCCTTCCTTCCTTCCTTCCTTCCTTCCTTCCTCTCTCTCTTTCTTCTTTCTTTCTCTCACTTTCTTCCTTCCTCTCTCCCTCCCTCCCTCCCTTTCTGAGACAGAGTTTTGCCCTTGTTGCCCAGGCTGGAGAGCAATGGTGTGATCTTGGGTCACTGCAACCTCTGCCTCATAGGTTCGAGCGATTCACCTGCCTCAGCCTCCCAAATAGCTGGGATTACAGGTGTCCGCCACCATGCCCAGCTAATTTTTTTTTGTATTTTTTTGTAGAGACAAGGTTTCACCATGTTGATGTGGCTGGTCTTGAACTCCTGACCTCAGGTTATCCACCCGCCTCAGCCTCCCAAAGTGCTGGGATTACAGGTGTGAGCCACTGCACCCAGCCTAAATACACGTATATTATTTAGTGATGTAGAAATGTGAAATTTCCCTTAGCAGTTAAGTAGTTTAATAGTTTAGTTATTCTTGCACTTAAGATGGTAGCAAACACAATACCAGCTGTGTGCCAGTCTAAGACCTTTACGTATAATAACTAATTTTATACTCATACTAACCCTATTAGGTAGGTACCATTTTTTTCCCCTCCTTTTTATTGTAAAGGAAGCCAAGGCAGAGAGTTTAGTAACTTGTTCAAGGTCATGCAACTAGGAGAACCAAGACTGGAACTCAAGAAGTATGTTTCTGGATTTGAACCTAGGGAGTACTGGCTCCAGAATCCTGCTGTCAATCGCCATGCTGCTTCTCAGAATCTTCAGACTTATTAAAAGTTTCACTATCTTGGAACTTTATTTTTATTTATCCAGGATAAAATTGGCTTTTTTTAGGAACTTCATGTGTATGTCTACCAGGATTTCAGATGATCTCTAATAATGGAGGACCTACTATTATTTGTAAAAAGTGCCCAGACAACATGGTGCGTATAATTTATTTTAAAATAACTAAAAAGTAGTAAGTTAAGTGACTATTTTTCAAACTATAATTTAACATTTACTCTGTTTCCCCACAGACTTTAAAATTATTATGCTAACTTTATTTTTATCAGAGTAAATTTTGGGAGATCAGTGAAATTTTATTCAAACTTGGAAAAATCAGAGATTTATTTCTTTTAAAATCTGAAATTAAAAAAACCACAAAGCTGTAAAAATTTAAGTTTTTGGTTTTACTTGTAGAATAACTTGATTATAAAGAAAATTCAATGGATAAAGCATATGTAGAGCAGTTTAGGATGTGTGCAATTTGGAATGTGTATATTCTTTGACTGGTGAAAATGGAGTTCAATGTATAAGACCCACCATGTCAATAGTTTATATGATTACAGATGTTCATAATGATATCTAAGGTATAATTATTTCATGAAATACCAATTACATTAATAAATAGGTTAAATAATGTCTGTTACTGTTTTGTTAGTAATTTGATATGGTAATTTTTGAAAAATTAGTGAATTAAGTTACTGTATATAATTTTCAATCAACACAAATGTATTTGTCAATCATTTTCGATAATTAAGAGTCTCTGTGTAATAGTTCTGACATTTACAGCAGTGTTTCTTCTCATTGTCATATAAAGCAATTCTGGGAATTTAATATGAAATTGTCAAGTTATCCCAATTTACAGGATCTGATTATCATTTTGATATTTATTTTATATCTTTACAAATGTTGATCCTAGCCGAATTACCCGTGGTAAAAAGCTGTTAATAAAAAGTGATCCCACAACAGATATTTTTTTCAGTGACGTTAAGTTATAATTTTAAAATTGTCCTATATAGGCCAGGTGTGGTGGCTCATGCCTGTAATCTCAGTACTTTGGGAAGCCAAGGCCAATGGATCATGAGCTCAGGAGTTCGAGACCAGCCTGGTCAATATGGTGAAACCCTGTCTCTACTAAAAATACAAAAATTAGCTGGGCATGGTGGCGCATGCCTGTAGTCCCAGCTTCTTGGGAGGCTGAGGCAGGAGAATCACTTGAACCCGGGAGGCACAGGTTGCAGTGAGCTGAGAGATTGTGCCACTGCACTCCAACCTGGTGACAGAGCGAGACTTTTATCTCAAAAAAAAAAAAACTTTACTAGTACAAGCCATAAATGGATAGAAGAAAATATTCTCATAAATCAATTTTAACAACTATGCGTATAATTTATATTTCATAAAATTCACATATTTTGAATCACCTTTGTTGGCCAGGCTGGTCTCAAACTTCTGACCTCAGGTTATCTGCCTTCTTTGGCCTCCCAAAATGCTGTAATTACAGACGTAAGCCACTGTGCCTGGACTAAATTTTTTTTTATGTATTTGGATTTTTAAAAAGTAGAATAATGTTTTGGACAGGTAAGATTAAACTGTTAACTATTGATTCAATCTTTTTGTGTTGTGTTGTGTTTTATATTTGTTTTTTTTGTTTTTTTTTTTTGAGTTGGAGTTTCGCTCTTGTTACCCAGGCTGGTGTGCAATGTCGCGATCTCGGCTCACCGCAACCTCCGCCTCCTGAGTTCAAGCAATTCTCCTACCTCAGCCTCCCAAGTAGCTGTGACTACAGGCGCACGCCACCATCCCCAGCTAATTTTTGTATTTTTAGTAGAGACGGGGTTTCACCATGTTGACCAGGATGGTCTCAATCTCTTGACCTCGTGATCCGTGGGCCTCGGCCTCCCAAAGTGCTGGGATTATAGATGTGAGCCACCACACCCGGCCCGTGTTTTATATTTGTAAATGGAAAAACGAAATGACAAATAATTATGAAATTAGGCATCCATTTGAATTAAAGATCCTGAAGAAGAGAACTATTATCCAGAGTTAATCCTTTAATAGTTGTCAGGACATAGTAATAATATAGAGCTTAATTTTGGAATATAAGCATGAATTATCTCTCCAGGGAATTTTTATGTGGCTCATATATGTATGACTTATTTGAATATTCCCTTCAGTTGTATACTCTTAGGGCATTTTGAACTTACATGATTTAGGAAAAGAAAGTTAATTTAAAAAGAGAAAAACATTTTTTTTTTTAATTTAGAAAGGTGTTACTGAGGATGGCTGGGACTGCATTTCTTGCCCTAGTGGCTTAACTGCAGAAGGAAAATGTCACTGTCCCACTGGTCATATTTTAGGTAAGAATTAGATTCCTTACGAAAAAGTAGTGATAAATCTTCATTTGTGTGTGTGTGTGTGTTTTGAAAAGGGTATTGATTTAAATAGTTAGGTGTTTACTTAATATTTTTTGCAGCTCAAGCAATCCTCATGCCTCAGCTTCCTGAGTAGCTAGGACTGTACACATCCACCACTGCAGCTGGCTAATTTTTAAATTTTTATTGAGACTGGGTCTTTATGTTGCCCAGCCTGGCTTTGAATACCTGGCCTCAAGAGTTCCTCCTGCCTCAGCCTTGTAAAGAGTTGGAATTATAGCCATTAGTCACTGTGTCCAAACTATGCACTTAAGTAAGAGAAAAAAATACTTATCACTGGAAAAGAAAAGGTAGGCCATAGTCCCTGTACTTTGGAAGGCCAAGGCAGGTGGATCGCTTTAGCTCAGGAGTTCGAGACCAGTGTGGGCAATATGGTGAAACCCTATCTCTACAAATTAAAAAAAAATCATTCGGTTACAGTGGCACACACCTGTAGTCTCAGTTACTCAGAGGCGAAGGTGGGAAAATCACTTGAGCCTGGAAGGTGAGGCTGCAATGAACCGAGATGGCGCCACCACACTCCAGCCTGTACCACAGGGTTAAGACCCTATCTCAAAAAAAAAAGTTAAAAAATCATTGTTTTCAGTTGATTTGATTGTATGTTTAAAACACCCAAGAGAATGACTAAAAACTAGGGCTGTGTGCGGTGGCTTACGCCTAGCACTTTGGGAGGCTGAGGTGAGCGGATCATGAGGTCAGGAGATTGAGACCATCCTGGCCAACATGGTGAAACCCCGTCTCTACTAAAAATCCAAAAAAATTAGCTGGGCATGATGGCACATGCCTGTAATCCCAGCTACTCAGGAGGCTGAGGCAGGAGAATTGCCTGAACCTAGGAGGCAGAGATTGCGGTGAGCCAAGATCGTGCCATTGCACTACAGCCTGGATGATAGTGCAGACTCTGTCTCAAAAAAAAAAAAAAAAAAAGAAAAACCAGCAGCAAAAAAGCAGTGATGTTTACAGTAGCAACAAAAAAGAAAAAATACATAGGCATATTCTTTCTTTTCTTTTCCTTTCTTTCATTTTTTTGTTTGAGTTTTGCTGTTGTTGCCCAGGCTGGAGTGCAGTGGCGTGATCTCGGCTCACTGCAACCTCCACCTCCCAGGTTCAAACAATTATTCTGCCTCAGCCTCCTGAGTAGCTGGGATTATAGGCTTGGGCCACCATGCCTGGCTAATTTTGTATTTTTAGTACAGACATGGTTTCTTCATGTTGGTCACACTGGTCTCAAACTCCCGACCTCAGATGACCCACCCACCTCAGCATCCCAAAGTAGTGTTGGGATTACAGGTGTGAGCCACTGTGCCTGGCCTTGGCATATATTTTATTTATTTATTTATTTTTTGAGACAGAGTTTCGCTGTTGTTACCCAGACTGGAGTGCAATGGCACAATCTCGCCTCACCGCAACCTCCGTCTCCTGGGTTCAAGCAATTCTCCTGCCTCAGTCTCCTGAGTAGCTGGGACTACAGGCGCGCACCACCATGCCCAGCTAATTTTTGTATTTTTAGTAGAGACAGGGTTTCACCTTGTTCACCAGGATGGTCTCCATCTGTTGACGTCATGATCCACCCGCCTCAGCCTCCCAAAGTGCTGGGATTATAGGCGTGAGCCACCGCGCCAGCTGGCATATACTTTAGAAGGAATGCGCAACATAATTAATTGAAGGAATTTGTTAATATTACTGAGAGATACGAAGGCAGGCTTTTATAAGTGAAGATGCATCATTTATTTTTGGATGGGAAGATTACGTATTAGAAAGATGTCAACTCTCCTACCAGTCTATATATTTTAAAGGATCTTAGTAAATTCTATCAGGATATTGTTTGTTTGTTTTGGGGTAATATACAAATAGATTTTGAAGTTTATCAGGAAAGATATATGAAAAGATAAAAAAATTCTGGGAAGGGAAAGAAGGAACTACCCCATCAGATATTATGCATGTTATAAAGCTATTATAATAACATGTATGACAGGCATATGGGTACACAGACTGATTGATGAGACTTAAACCAGATCATCAGAATAGGTTCAATTTATGTGGGAATTTGGTATGTGAAAAAAGTGACATTTCATATATGTGGAAATAAGACTGATTAATGGTGCTGAGAAAACTGAGAAAACACTAAGTTGGGTTTCTACCTTATTTCTGAGAAAATTAAACCTCAAATGAGTGAAATATTAAATATGAATATATGAAAGTTCTTAAAAAAATGTAGGAAAAATTTGTGTAGTTTTGGTATAATAGGCCTAAGAATGACCAAAAATACTCAATCACTTTGGAGACCTATGTGGGAGGATTATTTGAGCCCAGAAGTTTGAGACCAGCCTGGGCAACACAGGAAGACTCTGTCTCTACAAAAAGAAAAAAACCACAGAAGGAAAAATTGGTAAATTTACAGAATGCCATAAAATTATAATACCAAAAACCAAACTACAAACTAAAGAAAAGTATTAATGCACACAATAGACAGAGGTCAAAGTTCTTCAATAAATGTAAAGCTCCTACAGGTAAATAAGAGTAAGATGAATAGCCCAATTTTTAAAACAGCCAAAAAATCATGAGTAAAGTTCACACAGAAAAAAATATTTTAACATGAGAAAAATGTTCAACCTTACTCAGAGTAAGAAGTACATTAAAACCAAAATGAGATTTTACTTTTAACCTACCAGATTTTATTATAAAAATTATTTAGCCTGGCATAGTGGCTCACCCCTGTAATCCCAGAACTTCAGAAGGCTGAGGTGGGTGGATCACCTGAGGTTAGGAGTTCAAGACCAGCCTGACCAACATAGTGAAACCCCATCTCTACTAAAAATATAAAATTGGCCGGGTATGATGATGAATGCCTATAATCCCAGTTACTTGGGAGGCTGAGGCTGGAGAATCACTTGAACCAGGAGACAGAGGTTGCAGTGAGCCAACATTGTGCCATTGTGCTTTAGCCTGGGCAACAAGAGTGAAACTCCGTCTCAAAAAAAAGTTTTCAACTTTGGCAACGCATTTTTTTTTTTTTTTTTTTTTAGACAGAGTTTTCGCTCTTGTTACCCAGGCTGGAGTGCAATGGCATGATCTCGGCTCACCACAACCTCCGCCCCCTGGGTTCAGGCAATTCTCCTGCCTCAGCCTCCTGAGTAGCTGGGATTACAGGCACGTGCCACCATGCCCAGCTAATTTTTTGTATTTTTAGTAGAGATGGGGTTTCACCATGTTGACCAGGATGGTCTCGATCTCTTGACCTCGTGATCCACCCACCTTGGCCTCCCAAAGTACTGGGATTACAGGCTCGAGCCACTGCGCCTGGCCTTGGCAATACATTTTTAAGGATACCGGGAAACAGTCATTCATGCATCAGTGGAAAATTATAAGTTGGTGCAATCTCTGTGGAGAGCAAATTTACAGTACTTATAAAAATTTAAAATACAGATTATCTTTGCCCAGAAAGCTCTCATCTAGAAATTTCTCGTTTGAATACACTTAACTGTATGCATGAAGAAGTGTTTGTATGTTTTTTCTTGCAACATTATTCCTAAGACAAAAGATCGTCAACAATATAAGAATCTATCACCGGGCGCGGTGGCTCAAGCCTGTAATCCCAGCACTTTGGGAGGCCGAGGCCAGTGGATCACGAGGTCAAGAGATTGAGACCATCTTGGTCAACATGGTGAAACCCCGTCTCTACTAAAAATACAAAAAATTAGCTGGGCATGGTGGCACATGCCTGTAATCCCAGCTACTCAGGAGGTTGAGGCAGGAGAATTGCCTGAACCCAGGAGGCAGAGGTTGCAGTGAGCCGAGATCGCACCATTGCACTCCAGCCTGGGAACAAGAGCAAAACTCCGTCTCAAAAAAAAAAAAAAAAAATCTATCAAGATGAGATCAAATAAATTATTATATAGTCATACAATGGTATAGAATGCAATTATGGAAAAATAAACAGGCAGCTCTACACATTGCTATAGAAAGAAATCTAAGGTATATTGAGTAAGAAAGCAAGATATAAAATAATTTATTCATTTATCTACAAATATTTATTGAGTACCTGCTATTTATCAGCACTATTTTATGTATTTGGTATGCCGTTATTTAGCTTTTTAAAGACCATTATATATGCATATGTGCTTGTATATGCACAGGCTATTTCTGAAAAAATTCATAAGAATCTGGTAACAATGTTGCCTCCTGAGTGAAGAACTGAGTGTCTGGGAATGTTGGGAAAGAGACTTAATTTTTATTTATTTTCTTTTTTGAGATGCGTCTCGCTATGTTGCCCAGGATGGAGTGCAGTGGCTAGTCACAGGCGCAGTCCCACTACTGATCAGCCCAGGAGTTTTGACCTGCTCCATTTCCAACCTGTGCCGATTCACCCCTCCTTAGGCAACCTGGTGGTCCCTCGCCCCTGGGAGGTCACCATACTGACGCTGAACTTAGTGTGGACACCCGATCGGCATAGTGCACTACAGCCCAGAATTCCTGGCCTCAAGTGATCCTCTCACCTTAACCTCCCAAGTAGCTGGGACTACAGGCACGTGCCACCGCACCCGGCTAATTTTTATTTTAAATCCTTTTGTGCTTGGTGCGTTGGCAGACGCCTATAATCCCAGCACTTTGGGAGGCCTAGTGGGCAGTTCTGAAGTTCAAGACCACCCTGGCCAACATGGTGAAACCCCATCTCTACTAAACATACGAAAATTGGCTGAGCATGATGGCAGGCGCCTGTCGTCCCAGCTACTTGGGAAGCTGAGGCAGGAGAATTGCTTGAACCCAGGAGGCAGAGATTACAGTGAGTGAGATTGCACAACTGCGCTGCAGCGTGGGTGACGAGCAAAACTCTTTCTCAAAAAATAAAATAAATTATTTTGTGCCTTTTATTTTTATACTTAATTACCCAAAGATTAATTTTTTAATTAAAAAATTATTTATGTTTTATCTTTAAATTATTTTTTAATTTTAGTAATTATTTTTGTAGCAATGGGGGGGGGTCTCACTATATAGCTCAGGCTGGTCTAGAACTCCTGGCCTCAAGCAATCCTCCTGCTTTGACCTCTCAATGTGTTGGGATTACAGGTGTGAGCCACTATCCCTGGTCTTTTATTTATTTATTTTTTAGAGACGAAGTCTTGTTACGTTACCCAGGCTGGATTCAAACTCCTGGGCTTAAGCAATCCACGTCACCTGGCTTCTTAGTAGTTTCATTGGCACCGTTGCCTCCATTGAAAAGATTAACTAGATTCTCATAGTATTTGGGGGTCTATTCTTAGGGATTGGAGTAATGAAAGTTTTATGACTTGGATGGAAATTTGAATTTATTCCATTTCATGATGTACTGTTTCTACTATAAATCTTAGGATTATGGAAAATCTTTAATTTTTAATTTTTCATTATCCTAAAATTATATTAAAATCCAGATTTTAATTATAAATTTGGAATAAAAATTGGCATTATTTAAAGTAGGGCAGTTCAGTAGAAATACAGTGCAAACCAAATATGTAATTTTTAATTTTCTTGTCTACACATTAAAAAATAAAAAGAAACAAGTGAAATGAGTTTTAATACTGTATTTTATTTAGCCTAATATTATTTAAAATATTATCATTTGAACAGGTAATCAAGGTAAACAGTTTTTGGGATATCTTCGTTCTTTTGTTCTTTTTTTTTTTTTTGAGATGGAGTTTTACTCTTGTTGCCCAGGCTGGAGTGCAATGGCACAATCTCAGCTCACTGCAACCTCTGCCTTCCAGGTTCAAGCAATTCTTCTGCCTCAGCCTCTAGACTAGTTGGGACTACAAGCACCCAACACTGCACCTGGCTAATTTTTGTATTTTTTAGTAGAGACGGGGTTTTACCATATTCATCAGGCTGGTCTTGAACTCCTGACCTCAGGTGATCCGCCCGCCTCAGCCTTCCAGAGTGCTGGGATTAGAGGCATGAGCCACTGTACCCAGCAGGCCATGGTATTAGTTGTACAGGTAGAGAGAATAATTCTGTTTCTGAACATACTTTAAAGAGAGAGCTGACAGGGTTTGCAGATCTGTTTTTTATTTTTATTTTTTTGATATGGAACATGAGGAGACTCTTATGGACTGGAGTAAATGGTCAAATGGAGCTGTCATTTATTGAGAAAGGGATGACTGTATGAGGAACAAGTTGTTCATCTTTACTTTTGTTAAAGTCACTTTTTACCACCATGTACAAACTTAAAACATCTTGTAGGCGCAGCACTTTGGAAGGCCGAGGCGGGTGGTTCACAAGGTCAAGAGATCGAGACCATCCTGATCAACAAGGTGAAACCCCATCTCTACTAAAAATACAAAAATTAGCTGGGCCTACAAATATTAGGTGGTGCGCACCTGTAGTCCCAGCTACTCGGGAGGCTGAGGCAGGAGAATTGCTTGAACCCAGAAGGTGGAGGTTGCGGTGAGCCGAGATTGCGCCATTGCACTCCAGTCTGGGTAACAACAGCGAAACTCTGTCTCAAAACAAAACATTATGGATAAGACCACAATCCTCTTTGACCACTTTTCCCAATGCTGATTTTCTATTGCTCCCTCAACCCCAAAGTAATTGGTTATTTTGGGATGTTTATTTTGGGGGGTGTGTGCGCGCGTGCTCACATTCAGAATTTTTTTCTGTTTTGTTGTAAGGATCTATATTATGTAGCTACAGGAAACGTAGTGGTATATTTGCTTAAAAGTTTCATATACAAATATTAGTCTAGCATACTTTTTTCAGTTAGCGATAGATATGCTCTGATGCTCTGTTAGATTTACCTGATTCTTTTTTTTTTTGAGACAGGGTCTTACTCTTGCCCAGGCTAGAAAGTAGTGATGCTCGCTGCAACCTCGACCTTCCAGGTTCAAGCGATTCTCATGCCTCAGCCACCTGAATAGCTAGGATTACAGGCACATGCCACCATACCTAGCAAATTTTTGTGTGTGTTTTTTTTTTTTAGTAGAGATGAGGTTTAGCCATATTGGCCAGGCTGGTCTTGAATTCCTGGCCTCATGTGATCCACTCACCTTGGCCTCACAAAGTGCTGGGATTACAGGCATGAGCCTCCTCATCTTGCCTTAGCTGATTCTGTTTGTTTGTTTGTTTGTTTGTTTGTTTGCTTGTTTGTTTGAGACAGAGTCTCACTCTGTCACCAGGCTGGAGTGCAGTGGTACGATCTCAGCTCACTGCAACCTTCGCCTCCCAGGTTCAAGCAATTCTGCTGCCTCAGCCTTCTGAGTAGCTGGGACTACAGGCGTGCACCACCACTCCCTGCTAGTTTTTGCATTTTTAGTAGAGACAGGGTTTCATGAGGTTCGCCACGATGGTCTCGATATTTTGACTTCGAGATCTTCCCACCTCGGCCTCGCAAGTAGCTGGGACTATAGGCGCACGCCACCATGCCCAGCTGATTTTTGTATTTTTAGTAGAGATGATTTCACAGCAGGCTGGTCTTGTGATCTTCCCATCTCAGCCTCCCAAAGTGCTGGGATTACAGGCGTTCAGCCACCGCAGCCAGCCACCTGATTTTTAAAAATCTATTCCATAGTATTTTGTAGCATGAATATACCACCATTTTGCTATTTTAAATATTCATGTTGTTTATAACAAATAATGCTTCAATGAATATCCTTACATACATGTTCAAGTGTTTCTGTAGGTTAGGTATGTAAACACAAAATTGTACCTTTGTAAGGATGTGAATTTAAAACTTTAATAGACACTACTAAAAGCCTTCTAAGTTGCAGAAACTTATTAGTAACCTATGAAAATACTTACTTCCCCATCCTAGTGTGACAATATATAGATAAGAGGTAAGAAGATTTTGAGGGAAAAAAACACTTAATTTTTATGATGACTTGGAAAATTATTCTCTATATTTTACTATGTGAGAATAGGGAAGGCATCACCGCTCTTTTTTTGAAGGCATGGACAGGGTATGAAGGCATTACTTCTCTATACTTAATTACGGAGATACTTGTTATGCCTTTAATGCAAATAAAGTGTTTTGAGAATTATTAGAATAATTGTTACAGTTGGGTTTTGTTAAATATTTTCTAAATTTGTAGAAGCTTGTATGTTTGCTATGAGTTACATCTTTATTTTGTTTCTAAACTGTTTAGTGGAAAGAGATGTTAATGGAACATTGTTGTCTCAAGCAACTTGTGAGCTCTGTGATGGAAATGAAAACTCTTTTACAGTAGCAAATGCTTTACGAGACAGGTATGCAGTGTGATGGGGGCTGACTTATTAATACCATCTTATATTAATGTATAATCTATACTTTTAAGAGTATTTTTCTCTCGTATCACTTGCTTCTTACAATAACCCAAGGAAGGATAGAAGTAGACATTAACAGATACAGAAGCTGAGGCCCAGAGCATGAGGCAGAATAGGGTTCAAATTTTGGTCCAGTCTATTAGTTATTTGACCTCGGATGGCTCACTACTTCACAATCCCTTGTCTTTGGAATGGTAATAAACCACCCACTTCATAGGCTATAATGGCTCAGAAACAAATAAGTACAGTTCTTAGTGTAGTGCTACAAAGTAACCACTCTGTAAAGGGTAGCTATTTTTTTTTTGTTACTATGTCATTTGTCTATAATCTATAATGTAATTATATGCTAAGTACTATGCTAACACTCTTATGTATTAAAATGTGACATAGAAAAAAAATTGCATACTAAATCATAACCCAGGTACCCTGATTTATAGTCTCATTTTCTGTTACTTCCTGTTCCCCCTTTGTACATGTGTTTGTGAACCATAGGCACGTGTGCGCGTGCACACACACACACACACACACACCTCTGCCTGCCTATGTGCGTCCCTCTAACTTAAGCATGTTACTCCAATTTCAGCTTCTTTATTTTTTTTATGTGAGATAGAATCTCACTCTGTCACCCAGGCTGGAGTACAGCGGTGCAATCTCTGGCTCACTGAAACCTCGGCCTCCTGGGCTCAAGATACTCTTCTGCCTCAGCCTCCTCAGTAGCTGGGACTACAGGCACACACCACCATGCCCAGCTAATTTTTGTGTTTTTAGTAATGACAGGGTTTCACCTTATTGGCCAGGCTGGTCTCAAACTCCTGACCTCGTGATCTACCCCCCTTTGCCTCCCAAAGTGCTGGAATTACAGGCGTGGGCCACTGCACCCAGCCTTCTTTAATTTTTTTAGAGGCCTACATCATGACTTCCCTTGAGGCACAGTTTTTTCTTTAGTTTCCAGGTTTAATACAGAAAATAGTTGAGCAGCTTTTCTGAGGGCTAGTGTTGGATTATCTTTTCTTTAAGGCTGACCTGAGTTACAGCATCCAAATACTGATTACTGGGCTGATCCCCAAGTTTACCCCTCTATTATTTCCCCTAGCCTAGTCTGTTTTACGCCATGTGCAAGCCCCACTCCTACCTGCTCTATCTTGCAAGTGATGAACACCCATATATTGACTCATCACTGTCCTCACTGGTCTGGTACCCTCCCTCTCTCTACTCTACGTCATTCATTACTGAAAGATATGAAGTATTTTCCTAAAGTAAACAAAGATGATAAATAGAATTTATTTAAAAGTCTTGGTTGTAGGTTTGATAGGAGCTATATATACATTTCTCTTTAAATTATGCTACCTCTTTACTTTGTGGCACATAAAATAAGGAAAGTATATTTGATTAACTAATTGTAAAAATTGATTGGGTTTATTTATGCGAGTTTGTTGGTCTCTTTTTTTTTCCTCGATAATGTGCATTTTGATATTGGTCTCTTTTGTTAGTTGGGTGATATAATTATCTTTGATATTTAGAATTACTCATTCTGTACAGTCCACGTAGTTAAAACTCTTCTATTATTGATTAATTTACTTTATACTTTGCTTTGTAACACAGAAGGGTCTAAAACTATTCAAATCAGTGTTATTTTAAATTTGTTTGACATATTTATGTAATTGCTTACTGAATGAATCTAATCCATTGTTTAGGAAGACAGCTTTTCTATTAAATTAGGTTTAGTATAATTTGTTCACATTTTAAAAATTATTTTTGTTATATCGAACAGGTGCATCCGATGTGAGCCAACATTTGTCAATACCAGCAGGTCCTGTGCATGTTCAGAACCTAACATTTTAGTAAGGCTAAGCAAATTGATGAAGTATATATATTTTTATTTCAGTTGCTTATGCCTTTTCATAACCTTCTATTTTTTTTCCTCATTTATTTATGAAGACAGGAGGATTATGTTTCAGCAGCACAGGGAGTTTTCCTCTACGTAGAATTTCAACTGCACGTTATGGAGAGGTTGTGAGTATGTTTAAATTTTTTTGTTCTGTTGTTAAGGAACTTTCTATATTTCATTCATTAGTAATTAATTTTGGGCTAAAATGAGAAACACTTTTGTGCAAATCATTTTAAAACAGAAACACATATCAATCTAAGAAACATTAGTCTAATAATTCGGCATTATAATTTCTAAGTACGGTACTTAGTCTGTACCATAGCCTGTTTGTTTTTCAGTACTTTACAGAATGTTTACACCAGAAATGTCTGGTATATGTCCTGTATAGGATGCAGTATAATACATTTAAGGGGCCAGGTGTGGTGGCTCACACCTGTAATCCCAGCACTTTGGGAGGCCAAGGTGAATGGATCATGAGGTCAGGAGTTCGAGACCAGCCTGAGCAACATGGTGAAACCCCGTATCTATTAAAAATATAAAAATTAGCCGGGCGTGGTGGCATACACTTTTAATCCCAGCTACTCAGGAGGCTGGGTCACAGAGTAAGACTCCCTCTCAAAAAATACATACATACATACATAATACATTTAAGGGCACCAGAAACTCTAGATTTGAAGCCTGGATTTGCAAGTCATTAGTTTTGTATCCTTGAACCTTGAGAAAATTCCAAAACTTCAATTTATTGTCTGTAAATTTGTCATAATGAAAGTACCTTTATCACAGAGCCTGTACATAGTAAGCATTAGATAAATCAGGATTATTCTTTTTTTTTCCTTTTTTTTTTAAGATGGAAGCTCTGTTGCGAGGGCTGGAGTATAGTGGCACTGTAACCTCTGCCTTCTGGGTTCAAGCTATTCTCCTGCCTTAGCCTCCTGAGCAGCTGGGATTACAGACACCAGCCACTATGTCCAGCTAATTGCTTTTTCTTTTTTTATATATTTATTTAAAGATGGGGTTTCACCTTGTTGGTCAGGTTGGTCTTGAACTTCTGACCTCAGGTGATCCACCCGCCTTGGCTTCCCAAAGTGTTGGGATTATAGGTATGAGCCACCGTGTCTGGGCTTAATTTTTTTTATTTTTAGTAGAGATGGGGTTTCACTATGTTGACCAGGCTGGTCTCAAAACTCCTGACCTCAGGTAATGCGTCCACCTCAGCCTCCCAAAGTGCTGGGATTATAGGCGTGAGCCACCTCGCCTAGCCAGGATTATTCTTATTTGGCCAGATTGTTCCTTATTTTGTGGATGAGATTATTGAGGCCTAGAGTTAGAGCTTTGGTAACAGATGCTGTTGATAACTAGTTCTAGGGTATAAAATGGGAAGTAAGTTGATGAATTGTAACTAAAGAGATCACAAATCCAAGAGAACAAGAGTTAGATGACTAGGTGTTGGAATAGGAATTAATGAATGAACACTGAGGATGCCTTAGTATATCAGAGCTTGGGGTGGACAGGCTGTGATCTGGTTGTTAATATCATTATTGTTAATATTATTGTTGAACTTAGGAGTGATTAAGAGGACTGTGAGAGTAGCAATGATGAGAGTGGGATCTAGGCTCTTGATGAATCAAGCAAGTATAGTTCTTGTGAAGTATAGTTCCTCTCCTCCAGTATAGCTCTTGTGAAGAAGACAGGCAAGTACAAAGTAGTTACAAGACAACAAAATAGAAGCTAAAATAGCTGTATACATAGGGAACTCTGAGATTATCTAAAAACTGGCTCATCTGTAACAAAGTACATGTCTTCTGGGGCATTCTCCTCCAGATTGAAGTGAATGTGTGTATATGATTATTAAATTTGCAGGTCTTTAATTTTCCTTTTTTCTTTTTTTCAAATGATTAAGTTGAAATAATTTTGCTGGAAGTCTCAACAATGGCTCTTTGTTCTTTCTGGTCTGAGATCCCCAATTACTTAGTGGTCATGTCCCTTTAGCTTCCTCCAATTTGGAACCAGGTCCTCAGTGTTTCCTGTCTTTCATGAATGCAACAGTTTTGAAGATTACAGGCCTTACCATTCCTACAGATTCTTTCCTCATATTCAGTACCTGCTAAAAGCCACAAAAAAGATGCCATGTTCTTCTCAGTGCACTGCATCACATCCAGGGGCACACAATATCTACCTGTGCCACCATTGATGCCATTAACCTTGATCATCTGCCCTAAAGTCACCATGGCTACCATAAAGTTACCGTTTTCCATTTGTAATTGATTAGTATTTGTGAGGAGTATTTCTAAGATTACACTTTCTCACTAACCCTTAACCCACTAGCATTAGTCTCCATTGTTGATGCTTGCCCTTAACAACCACTATTGTGATGGTTGCCAAAGGTTAATTTTTGATTTCCACCGACATTTGATTACGTCCACATTTATTAATTGACATGCTATTGTAAGGAAGAACTATCTCTTCTGCCCCATTTATATACTTACTTTTTTTTTTTTTGAGATGGACTCTTGCTCTGCCACCCAGGCTGGAGTGCAGTGGTGCGATTTTGGCTCACTGCATCTTCTGCCTCCTGGGTTCAAACAATTCTTTTGCCACGGCCTCCTGAGTAGCTGGGATTAGGGTGTGTGCAACCATGCCTGGCTAATTTTTTTTGTATTTTTAGTAGAGACAGGGTTTCACCGTGTTGGTCAATCTCCTGACCTCTTGATCCGCCCCCACCTCCCCCGGCCTCCCAAAGTGCTGGGATTACAGGCATGAGCTACCACCCCCAGCCTATATACTTATTTTTAAAAATTAATGTCCACGTGGATTTATGGGTTTCTCATTTATTCAGTTAGTTTTAATCTAATATATTCATTATTTGTTTTGATGCTCAAATTGTCCTATATCTGACCAATAAAAGTCCTTTCAAGTTAGCACCTGCATTTTTTTTTTTTTGGACATGTCCCCATCATTCTTTCAGCATTCGCTTACTTTATGGTACAAGAAGATTTCTAGGCTGATCTTGTACTTTTCCATTTTTCCTCCCTCACCCCTGAAATCAGCCATTTCTTTTGTTTGTTTGTTTGGGATAGAGTTTTGCTCTTGTTGCCCAGGCTGGAGTGCAATGGCTCGATCTTGGCTTATTGCAACCTCGGCCTCCTGGGTTCAAGTGATTCTCCTACCTCAGCCTCCCGAATAGCTAGGATTACAGGCATGTGCCACCATGCCCAGCTAATTTTTGTATTTTTAGTAGAGACGGGATTTGTCCATATTAGTCAGGCTGGTCTTGAACTCCCAACTTCAGGTGACCTGCCCACCTCGGCCTCCCAAAGTGCTGGGATTATAGGTGTGAGCCACCATACCCAGCTGGAGTCAACCATTTCTTTAATTAGTTTTGAAGAATAATATTTAGAAACCAAGATTAACACACTTAGTATGTCCTCTCAGCAAACATAGCTAGGAAATATACACATATCTACATACACATATCTATGACTATTTTTGTGTCTGTATATATACTAAAATAAATGGGCCAGGCACAGTGGCTCATGCCTGTAATCCTAGAGCTTTGGGAGGCCAAGGTGGATCCCTTGAGGTCAGGAGTTTGAGACCAGCCTGGCCAACAATGTGAAACCTTGTCTCTACTAAAAATACAAAAATTAGCTGGATATGGTGGTGCACACCTGTAATCCCACCTACTGGGAAGCTGAGGCAGGAGAATTGCTTGAATCTGGAAGGCAGAGGTTGCAGTGAGCCAAGATTGCACCACTGTACTTCAGCCTGGGCGGCAGAGTGAGACCTGTCTCAAAATAAATACATAAAATAAAATAAAAATAGCTGATACAGATACCTTCAATTCTGAAGCAATATCTCAGGGTTCTTTCTAACCTTTCCCTTTGATAGGTTTTACATATCTTCTCCAGTAGTGAAAATCTGGGGTTCATTATCCTCCATTTATTCATATGGTCAATGTAACCAATCTTCCAACCCCCTCACTTTCTCTTCCACCTCCACATTCTCCCTCCTCTGATAGCACCATGCAGTCGACTAATTGTAGACTTCTTTGATAGGTGGGTAGGGAGGTTCCATCCTTAATGTTGTTCTGATTCAGTTAATGTATTTCATTTAAATATACCAGATTCTTTTTAATTAAAAGAAATTAATGCTAAATTTAAAAAAAAACCGCCTCAACCCTCCCCAGTACTTTCTGGGTCCCACACACAGGCACTTTAGCGGTGACTGGAGGATGGGGCACTGGGAACAGGAATGACACCACCATTGGGCCTGGGGCACCTGAGGACAACTGGAGTGCTCCAGGAGAACTGCAAAAGTCTAGCAGAGCAACACCGGTGTGGGCAGGGAAGGGCAGCCTGACAGGCTGGCGGGGCAACTCCCACCACTGAGAAGAAGGGCCGCCTGCAAGGCAACGGCCATAGGAGGCCAGCAATGGGTGTCTGCTGCCTCAGAGGACCCCCCAGTACTGCCAATGTCACGAGGCAGAGGGTGGGGGACTCGAAATCAGCCAGATTACGCATCCCTGCATCCCACACACTTCCCAAAGTCAGGAAGGAGAGGCAAGGGGCCCATAGGTGGAATGAGAAGAGCGGTCCCATTTGCCATGAATGTCTGTCCCTCATCAGACCTGGCCAGGGAGAGCATGACATCACCACAGCAATTGTGCGCTAACCATACCAGTTCTAAACACTGATTCTTTCCTAAGTACAGGTTTGGAATTCCTGATTTTAACTCATGTTGCAACTGGTGTTCAGCCTGGTTCCATGTAGTCACTGTATAAAACATATAAACAAAATCTAGTTAAGATGGTTTTACTACCCTCACCTAGTCCTCAGTTTGCAAGAATAAGAGCTCATTTTATCCAAGTATATATAGGTCAGTCAGATTTTAAGGAATTGTTTACAGTAATTAAACTCAGAAGAGATTAGATTAATTAATAAACCAGAATACATGTTTATTAGTTTATGTTGAGACTATAATTGCAAATTAGACTGAAATACTTGTATTGACTTCATAACATACATTCTTCCTAATTAGAAAAGTCTGCTTTCAACATTAGGGTCAGCAGTTTTCTTAGAGAACAAAATTGGAACATAATTCTGTTTGTATAATTTTGTAACAAGGCATCCAATCCTACTCATCCTACACGTGTAATTTACTTGCCAATCAGAAAACAATCTTCACATGCATGAGTTAGTATCTCCCCATTCCTTTTCCCTCAAAGACATTAATAGTAAACTAACATTGTGGTTTGTGTTTTTCCCAACTTTATTTTGAACAATTTCAAAATTTCAGGAAAGCTGAAAGAATAAGACAATGACTATGCATATATCTTTAACCTAGGTTAACAAATTATTAGTTTTCCCACATTTGCTTTCTCTCTCTGTATATATGTAAATATATACACACACATAATTTTTTTCCCCTGAGCCATTTGAAAATAAGTTGTAGACATAATGGCATTGCACTCCAACTATTTTAGTGTGGCTCTCCTAAGAGTAAGAGAGTAAGGCGTTTTCCTAGAATCACACCCAAGGAATTTAAAATTATCATGATAGAATTAACTGATACCCGTTAATGCCCAAATTTTCCCAGTTGTTCAAAAGTGTTCTTTATTCTCCCTTCCTTTTTAGGGGGAAGGGAGACCTAGAATCCAATCAAGGATCCCACATTGCAGTTAGTCTTTCTAGTGTCCTTTAGTCTAGAACAGATCCCTGCTTCACTTTGCTTTTATGGTTTTCTCTTCTGTATTTTTCTGGTTGTTTTCTCATTATTAAACTCAGTGAAACACACTTTTGCAAGATATTGTATAGATGTTGTATACAGCCCATTGCATCACAACAAGGGGCATGTAATGTCTGTCAGGTTGTTCAGTTATTGGTGATACTAAATTTGATTGCTAGGCCAGGTGGTGCGGTAGCTCCATGCCTGTAAACCCAGCACTTTGGGAGACCAAGGTGGGTGGATCACCTGAGGTCGGGAGTTCAAGACCAGCTGGACCAACACGGTGGAACCCTGTCTCTACTGAAAATATAAAAATTAGCCAAGTGTGGCAGCAGCCTCCTGTAACCCCAGGTACTTGGGAGGCTTAAGGAGGAGAATCGCTTGAACCTGGGAGCCGGAGGTTACAGTGAGCTGAGATCATGCCATTGCACTTCAGCCTGGGTACATTTATTAGCTAGCAATTGTCTGTAGAAACAGTTTACTTTTTCTCTGTGCTTTTTCTTTTTAAAGCTTTATTATCAACTCATAGAATCTTTGTTTATTCATTGTGTTATATCTGTTACTGTTATTCTTCTTTTCAAAGTTCAAGTTGTACCAAATTTGAACTTCTTTCAGCATAGCTCCTGTGTTGTTTTGATGTGACTTCTTTAGACTTTAGGGATTTCCTTGGTTTCTCTATACCATGTTCCAGACTCACTTTGTAAATGATATTTTTTAATAGTTCCGTAATATTCTGGCTTATGCACTAAAATTTGTATAATTGTATCTTCAGAGAATATTTAGGTTTTCAGTTATTAATTATATTGCTGTCAACCATTGTATACACTAAATATGTTTTCCCATTTGGAGTGATAATTGCCTTAAGATAAATTTCCTAAATGTTTCTAAATTTCTGGGTTAGAGTATATGGATATTGCTTTATAAAAGTATCTTGCAACTTTCACAATATCAATGGCGTTGTATCTGGCTCCATTTTACATGCATTTGTCAGTACTGTTGTGTTGCATTCCATTTTTACTTGTGTGTGTATGTGCCTCAGCCTTCTATGCATGTTTTTTTCTTACTAAATAATTTTTGCTTATTTTTATTTTTTATTTTTTAGACAGAGTTTCGCTCTTGTTACCCAGGCTGGAGTGCAATGGCACGATCTCAGCTCACCTCAACCTCTGCCTCCTGGGTTCAGGCAATTCTCCTGCCTCAGTCTCCTGAGTAGCTGGGATTACAGGCACGCGCCACCATGCCCAGCTAATTTTTTGTATTTTTAGTAGAGACGGGGTTTCACCATGTTGAGCAGGATGGTCTCAATCTCTTGACCTCGTGATCCACCTGCCTCAGCCTCCCAAAGTGCTGGGATTACAGGCTTGAGCCACTGCGCCCGGCCAGTTTTTGCTTATTAAAGATAAGAAAATAGTACCTTAAATTTTTATTATAGATTTATCTGATCTCTGTGGTCCCATGTTCATATAATTTAGTTGTATCATTTCTGTCTGTTCCCAGACAGTTTTCTCTGAAAGGTGCTTCTTAGTTTTTCATATTTTAGCAAGATGTGCAGATAAGCTTTAAAGCAATGGTTTTTAACCAAGGGTTTATGCATAGCCTTCAAAACCCATGTAATTACCTTGATCTAATCTGGAGACTCTGATTCTTTTTTGTTTGTGAAGCCAGGCATTTTTTGCTTTTAGAATGTTCTGCAGGTGATTGTAATGCTCACCATTGTTTGAGAAGCACCACTTTGGAGATTTGAAATGATTTCCCCTGTTTTTTTTTTTTTTTTTTTTTTTTTTGCTTGCCACTTTGGTACAGTATTTATAATAATTCTAAACCAATAAATATTAACCACTCAATACTAAGTCAGGATCTATTATTTTTTCTTTTGTTTGACACTATATTTTTTATGTTAGTGAAATAGGCATGTAGTATTTCTGGATTATAGACCCATTTCTTCTCTTTATATCTTTTGCCTAAGTGTTATTATTTTGTAAGGCAGTCCTATTTATAATAACTGACATTGGTTAAAAATCAATTTTTGTATTCCTATTAGTATCTGTTTTTCTACTAACATTGTGAAAGTAATGTGAGACACTTCTCATTCAGCAATAAGCATATTGACGTCATTTGAACTTAAAAATAAAATTCATCTTTTTGTTTACAGGGCATGTCTTTAACTTCAGAATGGTTTGCAAAGTATTTGCAATCATCAGCAGCTGCGTGTTGGGTAAGTTTGAATTTTTTAAATAAATTTCATTTCATTTTGAAGAATTGTACCATTTTTTTACCCAGATAATAAAAGTTTCTTTCTAAGTAGCTGTAGCATCTTAGTCATAATTTTATAAGAAGAATAAACCCTTTCTAGTGGGCTGAAAGGGAATACATAAAGAAGATGTTATTTAATATATACAAATTGAGTGTCTCCAAGCTTTTTTAGCTGAAAATGAGTGTTAGGGGAAACTGACTGTCACTTAGTAAATGTTTATTGATGACCTACTGTGTGTCAGGCCCAGTTTTTAAATCAGGTTAGATAGTTTAGAAAAAGAGAAAAATAATCCCTCATGGAGTTACAGTCTAAGTAAATGTCAGGTTGTGCTAAGTGCTATGAAGGCAAATAATTAAGAGTAAAGAACATAGAGCAGGTGGGGATGCTATTTTATGTGGTAATCAGGACAGGCACCTCTGAGAGGGCTATATTTAAGCAAAGAACTGAAAAAAGTGTGAGTGAGCCATGTAAACATCAAGGGGAAGTGTGTTATAAACAGAAACCATAGCAGGAGCAAAGGTCTCAAAATAGAGTTTACTGACTTATTCATTTAAGAGAGAAGGAGGAGGCTGGAGTGGCTGGAGCAGAGTGAGCAGGGAAAGCGGAGTGGAGATGAGGTTAGGGATGTAGGGAGTGGCTATGGCAAGGACCTGGGGCTTATTTTAAGGGGAGATAAAAGGATTTCATACAAAGGAAGACATGATAGAACTTCAGTTTTTGAAAGAATTATTGTAGCATGGAGAACAGAATTTGTTTGGGTAAGGACAGAAGCAGGAAGACCATTTAGGAGAGTATTAGAGTAACTTGAGTGAGAGATAGTGGACCATTGCATGAGGTGGTACTGTGGAAATGACACAAGGGTTTACTTTCAGCTATGCTTTGAAGATTTAGCTTACAGGATTTATTCATGAGCTGGATATGGGGCAAGAGAGAAAAAAAGTTCAAAGTTTTTCATGTGAATAAGTGTAAAAATGAAACTGTCCTCTCCTGATAGGGAAAACTAAGAAAGAAAGTTGAGAGGCAATCTCAACAAATGATCTTATTTTGTTGTTTATAAAGCAGATTACTTAAACAAAATGGATTAGATTTTATGTGTAAACTGTAATATACAAATTCTTATTCTTACAAATATAGTCTAATTATTTTTTTTTAATGTTGTGCTATGAGTTTTTCCTTAGTTCTTTCGGTTTCTTGTCTTTATATTATAGCCTAAAATTAGCAATTAAAATGTTCATGTTATTTCTCTTCCCATGTGGAAAGTTTATTTTCTGCTTAAGCCAGAGGAAAGGTTTTAACAAGCCAAAGAATACAAAAAAAAAGAATTAGTAGAATAGGTAAAAAAAAAAAAAAAAAAATGTTTTTTTTTTGAGATGGAGTCTCACCCTGCTGCCCAGGCTGGAGTATGAAGTCTCAACTCACTGCAACCTCTGCCTCCTGGGCTCAAGATATTCTTCTGCCTCAGCTTCCCAGGTAGCTGGGACTACAGGTGTGTGCCACCACACTCAGCTAATTTTTATATTTTTAGTAGAGACAGGGTTTCATCACATTAGCCAGGCTGGTCTCAAACTCCTGACCTCAAGTGATCTGCCTGCCTCAGCCTCCCAAAGTGCTGGGATTATAGGCGTGAGCCACCGCACCTGGCCTAGAATAAGTAAAATTAAAACAAAATAAAATTTGTATATGAACTTTTGCATAGGCTGTTCAGGTTCACGTTACTTTTCTTTGCCATTGTTCTGGTATAGGTATATGCCAATCTAACATCTTGTCAAGCTCTTGGAAATATGTGTGTGATGAACATGAATTCTTACAACTCTGCCACATTTGATGCTTGTCGACTATTTCAGTTTATCTTTGAAAATACTGGCGGACTGAGCACTGTTCATTCTATTTCATTTTGGTAAGGATATTTTGATTAATGAAATGTTATTTTTACTGAATTCATTATGTTTATGAATATATTCACAAATAATAATAATGTTAATAATAAGAAATATTTATTCTCCATTATTAAAACAATTGTAACTATTTATAGGAGACAGAATCTTCCTTGGCTGTTCTATGGAGACCAGTTAGGATTAGCACCTCAAGTGCTCAGTACTGCTTTTCTTCCTACAAATTTCAGTTTCAAAGGAGAAAACCAGGTAAAAGTCTCTAATATCATTAGAGAATAACTACATTTTTATTTACAATTTTAAAAGGTAATAAAAAAGTTAGAATTCTTGTCTTTTTAGGTTGTTGCTACAAACTCAGTTACTAAAATAAATATAAATATTAGCAATTTATAACAACTAAACAGTATAGAGTTTAGCTACCTTATTGAATATATGGATACTTCTAGATTATGTGGTTATGGCAAGACATAGTACTTGTAGGTTTGGGAAGAGTACTTTTCATCACCAAATGCAAAAAAAGTCTCTGTCCAAAGCCAGGCGTGGTGGCTCACGCCTATAATCCCAGCACTTTAGGAGGCCGAGGCAGGTGGATCACGAGGTCAAGAGATCGAGACCATCCTGGTCAACAAGGTGAAACCCTGTCTCCACTAAAAATACAAAAATTAGCTGGGCATGGTGGCACACGCCTGTAGTCCCAGCTACTCCGGAGGCTGAGGCAGGAGAATTGCTTGAACCCAGGAGGCAGAGGTTGCAGGTGAGCCGAGATCATGCCATTGCACTCCAGCCTGGGTGACAAGAGTGAAACTCCATCTCAAACTAAAAAAAAAAAAAAAATCTCTGTCCTATTTTTTCATGTCTTAAAGAGGTGCTTTCAAAGATTGATGGGGGCTCTGTGACGTTGCCCAGCACTTCACAGGGCTAAATTCCCACCTCTAACTTTTTGAGCTTCCAGATTGAGCAGACACTATTCTCCCACATTGCCTCCCATTTAACAGATTCGAAAGGAGCTTATCTATCATTAGTGCTGCCTCTCAATTCTAGAATAATAATTTTCATGCAAAAAACCAGCCTAATTCTTTTAGGTATGTTTAGTCATAAAAATAGATTAAGCCTGAAAACAAAGGTAATTGAATGAAATTTTTCAACAAAAAAGATGAGTCAACAATGAAAATTTCTTTATAGGATATTGTATTACTTTCAGAGTATTTGACCTGATTTTGCTCTTGTTTTCTTTAATTAGAATACAAAACTGAAGTTTGTTGCTGCTTCCTATGATATAAGAGGAAATTTTCTCAAGTGGCAGACTTTAGAAGGAGGTGTTTTACAGGTAAGCATAATGCTAGTTAAAGAATTAATAATGTGCCTTGTTTATTCCCTCTTTTCTTTGCCTCAGGCTTTTCCTGAGAAGACAAGAGGAAAAAAACTAGATTTCCTAGTCTTTTCCTAGAAATAGACTAGATTTTGCCTGAGGCAAAGACAAGAGGAAAAGACTAGATTATTGTATGAATAGAGCATCAGTTACATACTACAGTTGACTTTTTTTTTTCCTGGTAGTTTAAACGAGAATTTCTTGTTCTTTTTTTTTATTTTTTAAATTTTATTTATTCATTTGTTTGTATTTTTTAAAGACGGGGTTTCACCATGTTGGTCAGGCTGCTCTTGAACTCCCGATCTCAGGTGATCCACCCGCCTTGGCCTCCAAAGTGCTTGGATTACAGGCGTGAGCCACCATGCCCGGCCTCTTTTTTTTTTTAAAGTTATGACTTTAATTTATAATAGATGTTCCCTTAACTTTTCATATCCTTAATACGTTAAATAAGTGTTATGTAGAGCATATATACATTTTTGGGTTTGAGAACTCTTGAGTATAAGCATAGAAAATATTTGTGAGAGATATTTATCTATTGTATTCTTTTACTGTAGCTTTGTCCAGACACAGAGACAAGGCTCAATGCTGCTTATTCGTTTGGAACAACCTATCAACAAAATGTAAGTCTGAACTATATTAGTCTATATTTTAGCTTTATTTTTCAAAATATCACATCAACAGTAATTGGAATAATACTTAAATTTTTGAGATTGGAAATGTTTTAATAGTAATGAATAATTTCACTAATTAATATAATTTTTTATCTTGGTACAGAAAAGCTTAAGTGGCATAAACAGAGCATCTTGTTATCTATGGTTTTTTGTTTTGTTTTGTTTTTTGAGACAGTGTCACTCTGTTACCCAGGCTGGAGTGCGGTGGTGAGATTGGCTCATACTGCAAACTCTGCCTCCTGGGTTCAAGCAATTCTCGTGCATCAACCACCCAAATAGCTGGAACTATAGACGTGCACCACCACACCTGGCTAATTCTTGTGTTTTTCATAGAGACAGGGTTTTGCCATGTTGACCAGGCTGGTCTCAAACTCCTGTCCTCAAGTGAGCCAGCAGCCTCGGCCTCCCAAAGTGCTGGGATTACAGGCGTGAGCCACTACACCCAGCCCTGTTGTTGTTTTTAAAATAAATGTTATTGTGCGTCTAACATAGGCCAGGAAGATCAACACCTATGCAATGCCTGTCTCTGTATGCTCAGCATTTTATCATTATTATTATAAAATAACTATGTGAGATACATAATATCTGTGCTTCACAGATGAGGAAATAATGCCAAATAATTAGGTAATTTACTCAAAGTCTTGTGTCACATAAACTGTGGAACCAATGTTCCATCAGGTTTAAAAAGCATTTTAATTTCTCAAGTAGTTCATAGCCTAGTGGGCAGAACAGTTATATAGACAAAGAATTGCAAAGAATGTGGTAAGTGTCATTCTATAGGTATGTACAAGGTACTGATTTCTGGGGAACTATAGAAAGGCTTCACAAAGTAAGTGATATTGGGCTTATATAATGAATATGAGTTTGCCAGGAGAACACAGTGGAGAAGGAAATGTCAGACAGAAAGACATAGAATAGCATTTGCAATGACAGAGAGACATAGAATAGCATGCCATATTCAGAAACTGCAAGTAGGTTAGTATGAATGGACCACCACAGACTGATAGGGAGTAATGAGAGATAAGCCTGGCTTGGTTAATGGAAGCCAGATCATAGACATCATTGTACATCAGGAGAAAAAAATGGGACTTTATCCCACAGGACGGTAGTTTTAAGCCTTTTCATGGATGTACACTTATTGAGAATGAAGGCATACCTTCTTCATCCAAGTTGAGGCTCAAGAACAAAGCAGTTCTTTACTGTTGGTGTTTTTGGTTCTTATAAAATAATCGTATTTACGGTATTCATGCTTTGGAAGCCAAATGGAAATGCATATAGACAAGGTAGTGTAAAGATATTTTGCAAAACTAGAAAAACACTCTGAAGATGATAAATGTGCTTGCTAATTTTCAATTGTGATCTTTTATCTTTTTATTTTACTTTTTAGTACTTTAAGTTGCTGTTTTATATGCTTTTATTTCTAATCTTACTTTTCAGTGTGAGATTCCCATCTCTAAGATCTTAACTGACTTTCCCACTCCTATATTTTATGATGTATACCTTGAATATACTGTTGAAAATCAACATCAATATATTTTGGCTGTGCCTGTGTTAAACCTAAATCTTCAGCACAATAAGATGTTTGTGAACCAAGGTAAGACATCCATACATAACCACTCTTTCCCTGAGCAGAAATAAATCAATAAGTTAACCCACATGATAATTTAATAAACCACTGATTATAAGAAAGGTCATGAATCCTCTTTCATATGGTTCCATACAGCATGCCAAAAATAAAGCAATAAATTGCTGGTGGATTTAGAAATTTTTACTAATTTTATTGCCAGACATATTGTTAAGAAATTATACTATTGCTAAGGGTATATCCTGAGAAACATTAGTAGAACCGTAAATTGGGACTTTTTCTTCAAGCTGTCCTGAATATACTTTTTTGGACAAATTAGTTTCTTTTGTTGTTATTCATGTTATAAAATCCTGCATTTTCAGGTAATTTGCGGGAAAAGCCTTCCAAATTTATGAAAAGTTTAAACAATCAGAAGACATTCAAGTCCAAGATGTGGTGGCTCACACCTGTCATCCCATTACTTTGGGAGGCCAAGGCGGGAAAATTGCTTGAGCCTAGGAGTTCAAGACCAACCCAGGCAACATAATGAAAACCTGTTGCTAAAAAAAAATAGCTTGGTGTGGTGGCATCCGTTTGTAGTCCCAGCTACTCTGGAGGCTGAGTTGGGAGGATCACTTGAGCCCAGGAGATTGAGAATGCAGTGAGCCATGATCATGTTCCTGCGCTACAGCCTGGTCAACAGAGTGAGACCCTATCTAAAAAAAACAAAAGAAGACATTCACATGAGTTAAGAGAAGGCCATTGTCAGGTGTTTCTTATACCAATAGCTTCTTGCAGCCATTCTAACTAAAAACAGTAATTTTATGTTTTAAATTTGTTCAGTAAACTTTTTTCTTTTTATAATAAAAGACAGCAACTCTGGCAAGTGGCTTCTGACTCGGCGCATTTTCTTAGTGGATGCAGTAAGTGGACGAGAAAATGACTTAGGAAGTCAGCCAAGAGTAATTCGAGTGGCCACCCAGATATCACTGAGGTAAATAAATGTCTAACAACATTATTTTTGGGAAAACGTCATAATGGAAGTGTTTGCCAGTCGTTAGTAGATGAAAACATTAAGGATGACTGAGTTGGAACAATTGGTCAGGTTATTTTAGGTATATGTGTAGATTGGCATAGACCAGTAAAAGTAAATAGCCAAGGGGAAAACTGTAACAGAAGAGTGTGAGGAGTTAGGTAAAATTCATATTCTAGGTCCCACGTAGACCTGCTGAATTAGAATGGATTGCAAATAGCTAAATAAATACCAGTGAGCTGAAACTGGTGTTTTAGAAAGAGCCTGCCAGATGGTTGTTAATTTTTAGGACTCCCCTTTCCTCATTTCTTTCAGTGGCGTTTGTTCTAGGTTTACCCAGAATAATTATGAACACCTCCTTCTTCCTAGGATAACCTATGATCCTACCTTAGGAGAGTACCATACCACTTATATTTTTCTGTCTTTTCCAGTGTGAGATCTCTAAATCTTAGTAACTTTCCCACCCTAATGTTTTAGGTTGTGTACCTTGAATACAGTGATGAAAATCAACACCATCATCTCTCAGTAGTTTGGTACTTTGAAGTACTTCAGTCTACTTTTATTTCAGTTATTGCATTTTGATTTTCATAATCTTATGAGAGAGACAGTACAGAAACTTTGTTATATATCATGCTGAAATCCAAATGTCCTGTGTTTTCACCATTTCTTCAATCTGCTAATATGGTATTCCTGATAAAAATGAAAATGAACTTAGTCAGACTTGATGTGTTCTTGATGAAACCATGCTGGCCCCTAGTGACTCGCACTTTCCTTTTTGAATTCGTGAACTGTACAGTACTAATACATTTAATTTGGTAAAATGAACCTCACTTTGTGTCATCCATATTATAGCTGATACTTTTTTTTAATTTAAAAAATTTATTTATTTATCTTGAGACAGAGTTTTGCTGTGTTGCCCAGACTGGCCTTGAACTCCTGGGCTCAAGCAATCTTCCCACCTTGGTCTCCCAAAGCGCTGAGATTATAGGCATGAGCCATTGCACCTGGCTTAACACATGTTATTTTGTTAAGAATTCATCTTTCTCTTTTGAAAATCAAGATTTTATCTGCCTTTCTTCAGGCTTCATGTATTGATTATTCCTCAAAGATAATTTATAGCAGTTCAATGATTTCATTTGTAAACTTCATAGGACTTAGATTGAGCTTCTAATTTCTCTCAGATGGTACATTTTTGGTTTTTTTTCTTACATAATCAGATGGTATATTTTAAGTTTTGACCACTCAAGGTAGCTTGTGCTGTCATAATTAGCTTATGTGTAACCTTCCTTGGTCCTTGTTAACTGGTTGGTTCTGAGATCATCAGACAATTCATAATAATTCAGAAGAAATGGTAAGTTAAATGTATGTTTAAGGGCCTGGATAAATGTATGTTTAAGGGCCTGGATTACTGTAAATGTATTTTCTTTTAAATAGCATCCGTCTGGTACCCAACACAATAAATGGAAATATCTACCCTCCCTTAATCACCATTGCCTATAGTGACATTGATATCAAAGATGACAACAGCCAGTCTGTAAAGGTGAGTTCCTGACTAATCAGTGCCTTCATATGTGTAAATACAGTATAATACTGATTCAGTTTGCATTTTGGTTAAAAGAGAGTCTTTTTCTAAGTTCTAAATAAACCTTTCTCTACTTATAGTCAAGTCTTAATTATTTTTTACCCATAATGGTTAAGAGGTGCATTTCTTATGGATCCTGAGTATAAAAAAGGAAGAATGGATTATGGTTTTCGGTAGAAGTCTCACCAGCAGTTGAGTGTCCTTGTTAGGGATTCTGGCATGTGCTGTGATGTGCAAAGTCTGCTCCTATTCTTTTTGCCACCTTGCTTTTGTTAAGATTTTGTGGGCTGGGCATGTTGGCTAATGCCTGTAATCCCAGTCCTTGGGGAGGCCGAGGCAAGCAGATCATGAGGTCAGAAGTTCAAGACCTGCCTGACCAACATGGTGAAACCCTGTCTCTACTAATAATACAAAAATTAACCAGGCATGTTGGTACATGCCTGTAATCCCAGCTACTCAGGAGGCTGAGGCAGGAGGATCACTTGAACCTGGGAGGCAGAGGTTGCAGTGAGTTGAGATCGTGCCTCTACACTCAGCCTGGGTGACAGAGTGAGACTCTTGTCTCAAAAAAAAAAAAAGATTTTGTGTCTTTGCCCAAGTAAGCCAGGAACTCAGACTTTACAGTGGGAGTATGTGTGCTCATCAATCTATGACCCACTTGATAGAAACACGCTTCAACAGGCAAAAAGAGATGCTATTTATCAGCTTTATAGCTAATATTGCTAACATGAACTAGAGGATGTAGTTTGGACCTGAAGCCACATAAGTTTTCTGCTACTTCCCCAACTAAATTAAACTTAACCACAGGACAGAAGGCCTCTTATGCTTGGGAGGGCCTATATATATGGAAGCGAGACCTCTTAGACTGCAGTGCAGAGAATGAGCCTAGAGAAGTTGAGCCACACATACTCAGTTCCTCTTCTTAGCTTCTCCAGTAAGACAAAGCATCCTTGCTTTGAGGAGGCATAAATGAGAGAGGGATAGAGGTTAAAAAAAAAAAAACAGCGGTAATTCTTCTATACTTTTTCCTCCTAGAAATTAAATGGATATTCCCTTCCTTCTCTAAAAACATGAGAAGTGGAGCATAAGCATTTCTTACCTCCAAACTCTGTAAGAGCTTTGAATTTCTACTATTTTACTTCTGAATTTTAATATTCTAGTTTGTTCAGCCTGTGCTTTTGGCCTCTGTGTTGTGCTGGTACTTGTGCTCCAGTGCTATTGGATTATAACTTTAATTAAGCAAAAAATACGGCCGGGTACAATGGCTAACGCCTGTAATCCCAGCACTTTGGGAGGCCGAGGCAGGCGGATCACCTGAAGTTGGGAGTTCAAGACCAGCCTGACTAACATGGAGAAACCCCGTCTCTATTTTTTAAAAAGCGTTAAAAAAAATTAAGCAAAAATACACATGTAGTATAACTTTTAAAGATTTTCCATCCTCATTTGTATTACCTAATCCAATGCTAAAATTAGTTTCCATTGACTGAGCTTGTATACACTGTAATGAGAGGAGAAGAAAATCTAGAAACATGCTTGGTAACAATAAAAGTCTGCCTGGTTTAAAACTTCCTAGAGTGATATTATGGGTAATCAAGAATATATTGATTTTCAGCCTGACCAACATACTGAAACCCCATGTCTACTAAAATACAAAATTAGCCAGGCATGGTGGTAGAAGTCCATAATTCCAGCTACTTGGGAGTCTGAGGCAGAATTGCTTGAACTGAGGAGGCAGAGGTTACAGTAAGCCAAGAGTGTGCCATTGCATTCCAGCCTAGGCAACAGGAACGAAACTTCATCCCCTGCCAAAAATGAAAAGGAATATATTTATTTTAATGTAAAACACTTGTAAGTCTTTCCTTTAAATACTGTTTTTGTCCAAAATAATTCTAAACTAAGCCTTGATAAATTGAAAAATAACAAATAGAAAAAAGTTAAGTCTGCCGGGCATGGTGGCTCATGTTTGTAATCACAGCACTTTGGGAGGCCAAGGCAAGCAGATCAGTTGAGGTCAGGAGTTAGAGACTTGCCTGGCCAACATGGTGAAACCCTGTCTCTACTAAAAATATAACAACAAAAAAATTAGCTAGGCATGGTGGTGGGTATCTATAATCTCAATTACTTGGGAGGCTAAGGCAGGAGAATCACTTGAACCTGGGAGGTAAAGATTGCAGTGAACCAAGATCACACCACTGCATTCCAGAGTGAGACTCCATCTCAAAAAAAAAAAAAAAAAAAGAAAAAAAATAGTTAAGTCATGAAAACTACATTGATGAAGTCTACCTCAAATTGTTCTAATTATAAGACATAGATTTCTTTCATCACTTCTTAATTTCTCATGGCAGCTGTTGTAAAATTTTACATCAGTTGTAAACATCCAGCTATGTCTCTGCTCTTTAACTGGTCTTGACCAGATCAAGACTATCTAATACAAATTCCTTAAGATTTCCTCTTTAATATTTCAGAATCTCTGTTTCATTGCCCTTCCCATTTCTTGTTCCTTTTTTCTGAGAAAGAAGGTCCCCTCCTGTCTTCCTAAACTAATCTTCTGTCTAACCTCATTTACAGTACCTTTTCCTATAACCTGTTTTATCCCCAATGTCTTTTTGTTCAGCCAGCCTCTCTACAAGTCCCTTTCCTTTGCTTATAAAGACTCTCAGATTGCCTTATCTTAAAAAAAAAAAAAAAACTAAACCAACCAACCAACCAACCAAACATTTTACTCAGTTCTGCCAGCTGCCCAGGTTGATATTTATTTCTCCATCATTTCCCAACCATTTACTCTTTCATCATTTGCAGTCTGGCTCTTGCCATTTTACTTCTTAGAAAACCTCTTTCATGAAAGTCAGCAATGATTTCCACATATAGTGGCTTTATTTCTTTACCTTGACATTTATACAACATTTGACACAGTACTCAACCTCCTCCTCCTTGAAACTCCCTATTCTGTGACCATGTTAAGACTTAGGTATCTTCCTCTCCTACCCATCACAGTCCTCTTCTCTGACCCTTTACTAGGTTCTTCTTTCTCTTAGTCTGATTGTCTCAGTGTATGGTATCTTTAAGAATTTTGTTCATACCTTTGATGAATTTGCATAGGGTATGGTTGTTTAGCCAGTTGCTAAATTCTTGATGTACAAGTTTCATCAAATTCCTCAGTTACAGAAATCTATTGGAAATTGAAATACGATTAGTTTGACTTAAACTTTTGTGCATGAATCTAACTTATCTCCTAATGAGCTCCTTTATAATGTGTATGAAAGAGATATTTAAAGCAGCACAAAAATAATTCTCAAAAGCATATGTATTTACGTGTAAGTAAAGGTCAACTCTAGTAATATTGATAGTTAAAAACTATAGTGTTTACGATAAAACTCAGCTACAAATGTATTTTTATAATATTAAGTTTGTATTATATAATTTCAGTATAGCTAATTTGTTTTGTTTTAAATATCAGGTTTCTTTCTCAGTCACCTATGAAATGGATCATGGAGAAGCAGATATCCAGACAGATGTAAGTTTATTTTAACCTATTAAAATATATACAGTATATTTTATAATTAAATAAGATATGCAGGAAAGTTGCTAGAACAAAATTTGCCAGATATTCTTCCTCCATCCTCCCGTAATGTTAGCATCTTACATAACCTTACTTAGTACAGTGGTCATAATCTGGAAATTAATATTGATATACTCCTATTAACTAATCTACATACTTTTTAAATTTCACTATTGAATTTTTTTCTGTTTCAGGACCCAATCTAGAGTCACACATTGCTTTTAGCTGTCATATCTCCTTAGTGTTTTTCAATGTGTAACAGATTCTTACCTTTTTTTGTCCTTCATGACCCTAGCACTTTTGAAGAGCACTGGTCCATTGTTTTAGCCTTCAGTTTGGTTTGTCTGGTATTTTCCCATGATCAAATTGAGTTCGTATAGTTTTAGCAAAGATGCCACCAAAGTGATACGGTGCCTTCTCAGTGCATCATATCGGGAGGCACATGATGTCAGCATGTCTTCTTATTGATGATGTTAACTTTAATCATATGGCTAAGATGGTGTCTGCAGAGTTCTCCACTGCATTTTTCCATTTGTAATTAATAAGTATCTTGGCCGGGCATGGTGGCTTATGCCTGTAATCCCAGCACTGTGGGAAGCTGAGGCAGATGGATCACCTGAGGTCAGGAGTTCGAGACCAGCCTGGCCAACATGGTGAAACCCTGTCTCTACTGAAAATATAAAAAATTAACTGGGCATGGTGGTGGGTGCCTGTAATCCCAGCTACTTGGGAGGCTAAGGCAGGAGAATCACTTGAACCCAGGAGGTGGAGGTTGCAGTGAGCCAAGGTCATGCCATTGCATTTCAGCTTCGGCAACAAGAGCAAAACTCTGTCTCAGATAGGTAGATAGATAGATAGATAGATAGATAGATAGATAGATAGATAGATAGATAGATAGATCTCATGGGGGAGAATCTTTGAAATTATGCAAACATTCTGCTTCTTATTATTATTTTGCCCTCTAATTTTATTAAATAGCATCCATTGGTGTTTCTTGCTTGCAGAAAGTTTCACTGTGATATTTACCTCATGGTGATTTTCTGTTTCCCTAATTACTTTTTTATTTATTTAATTTGAAAATTTACTGTGAGGAGAAACTCTCCCTTTGCTCACATTACTTATTCAATTATTTATTTTTAAATCACTGTGAACTCATATTTGTTTTGTTTTAGTAATTATATTATAGTTTATTTTCTTGTTCAAATTGTCCCAGATTTGTCCTTTAGAAGTTTCTCCACCTTGACTCCTGTGTCCTTTCAACATGTCCCTCCCTCACTGTTTTTTTTGAGCACTTCTTTCTGTTCACAGTGTTTTTGAACACTGATGAGAGAAATTACATAAATTCTAAATTGTTCTTTTGTTTTTTAGATTGCTTTGGGTGTGTTGGGTGGGCTAGCTGTTTTAGCATCTCTTTTGAAGACAGCAGGATGGAAGAGGCGCATTGGGAGTCCCATGATTGATTTACAGGTAAAATCTCAGGAATTTTTTAAGAATATTTTAATCTTTTGACTATTCTGGATCCTTCTCATAAGACACGGCTAGAGAATGAATTTTTCTGAGGCATGTAATTAGGATCTAAGTATTGCTGGGTCATATGGTATATGCATACCTCATGTTCTTCCATCATACTGTCTGCCAGTCTATATTCCTGCCTGCGGTGCTCTTCTTACTTCTGCGCATGCTTGGCAACACTTGATATTTTTGCAACCTTTCCATTTTTTGCCAATCTTGTGACAAATAGTCGTATGTCATTGTTGATTTCATTATCATTTCTCTGATTACTCTTCATATACATTTTAATAGTTTGGATTTCTCCTGTGAACTGCCTGTATCCCTTACCCATTTCTCTATTATGTTTCCAGTTTTTCTTGTTTATTCAAAGGATTTTTTAATATTTTCTAAATAGTAACTGCTTTTTGGTTTCTGCTGTTGAAATATGTGACCCATCTGTTATTTTTATCCATGTGGTCCTTTGTTTAACAGAAATCCTCAGTTTTTTTGTTGTTTTGTTTTGTTTTTGTTTTTTTGAGACAGATTCTTACTCTGTTGCCCAGGCTGTACTACAGTGGCACGATCTTGGTTCACTGCAGCCTCCGCCTCCCAGGTTCAAGTGATTCTCCCGCCTCAGCCTCCTGAGTAGCTGGGATTACAGGCGCATACCACCACGCCTGGCTAATTTATGTATTTTTAGTAGATACGGGGTTTCACAACGTTGATCAGGCTGGTCTCAACCTGCTGACCTCGTGATCTGCCTGCCTCGGCCTCCCAAAGTGCTGGGATTACAGGCATGAGCCGCCATGCCTGGCCAGAAACTTAGTTTTGATATCATCATATCTGAATATATTTTCATGTTATGGTATGTGTTTTTAGGATTTTTTTCTATGTCAAGATCACAAAGATAGTCCACATTTTATTCTATTAACTTTATACTTTCACTTCATGTTTAACCTTTTATTTTTATCAAACATTTAAAAAATATTTACCATGTACTGGGTACTTTTTAAAGCTGTATGTATATAATTTATGTATATATCTTTACGTATATGATACAACTTAATCCTCACAATAGCTCTTTGAAGTTAGATATTATTATTATTAGTCACATTTTACACATGATGAAATAGAGGCAAAGGTTAAATTTTCTACTCACTTGATTTTTACTACAACTCAGTAATAGGTATTTCCATTTTGTTGATGAAGAACATGAGAAAGGCTACATGGTAACTTTAACCAAAGTATCTTTCTGATTCCAAAGCCAGTGAGCTAAGGAATTGGCAGGAGGACTTGATTTGCTACTTGTGATAGTCCAGAAAGGCTTTCCAGAGAAGTGAAATTTAAGAGGGGTTATCTATTCATTCCACAGTAGTCACTGAGGCTCCACTGTGGAAGTGTCTGGCACTCTACCAGGCACTGGAGGATGTGATAGTGAGTGAAGACAGCCATAGTCTGTGCTCTCAGAGATCATGAGAGCTTGCCAGACAGAGGAAGAGTATTTGGTAAAACAATGCCCATTTTCTACAAAGTATTCAAGATGAAATGGAATGGTTGATTGTTAACCACACAGCTGGAACTGGCAGATGAAAATTTAATTTTGGCTCATATTCTGAAAGACCTTGTGGATCAGCAATTTATACGGCAGTGAGGAGTTATTCATTTTTAACAAGAGGAGTGACACAATCCAATTTACATTTTAGAAAACTAACTCTGGTGGTAGTGTGGAGAGATTAGAGTGGAGGATTCCCAACTAACAGAAAACTAGGAAGCAGTTCAACTTTCTTAGATAGTGAAAGATGAGAAGAGTTGAAAAAAGAGGCTACCAGGAATGGACAGAAAGATAAGGAACAAAAAGGTAGCAAGGAGGAGGATGCAGGTGTTCTTTATAGCTTGATTATATGTGGATATGTGAAACAAGACTTCAGAAATGGAGTGGATGATGTATAAAAGCGGTAGTGTTACTAAAGGGGTTATATATATTGAGTCTTAAACAGCTGTAATTCTTTTTTCTTTTTTAATTGCAGACAGTTATGAAATTCTTGGTGTACTATGCTGGCTATCTGGCCAATGTTTTCTTTATCATCACAGTGGGAACAGGTCTTTATTGGCTTATTTTCTTCAAAGTGAGTGAGTTTCTGAATTTACCCCAACTGCCAATGTCTGAATAATTGAAAAGCTTTCCTTTTAAGGAATTATTTTTATTTGGGAGAATTTTTGATCAATAGTATTAAGACAGGTGCCCAACTCCCCATTCCTTGAGTGTGCTGAGCTTATCGGTTATATCACTATCATCCTCTTTTATGCTTTCTTTGGTCTATCAATTGTGCTTAGTAAAAACCTTGTTCAATTGAGAGACTTGGCTGGGAGGATACTGTGAGTCCAGAATCAAGTCCAGCCCGGGCAACATACTGAGACCCTCCTCTCCAAAAACAACAATAACAAAATAACAAAAACTTTGTGTGATTGTATTTAATCAAGTAATTTTTATTATAGGCACAAAAGTCTGTCTCTGTTTTGCTCCCAATGCCAGTTCAGGAAGAACGTTTTGTCACTTATGTTGGATGTGCCTTTGCTCTGAAGGTAAGTTTTACTAAATTTAAAAGGCCTGCTAATGAACTAGTAAGTCTTTAAAGTTAAAATGCTTTCAAAATCTTTGGTGTGAAATTCACTTTGGTTTTGAAAGAAAGCCTTCATCATTTTATGTGGTAAATTTACTTTTATTTATAGTAGATACTCAGTCTGAAAATCTGCCTTAAATATTTTTTTCAAAGAAGCCGTACATCTATTTGGATTAACATGAGTTGTGACTAATTTGATAAAATGATATTTTAATATATAACTTTCTTTAAAGTCTGATGATACATTGACAATGGGACAAAATGTCTTCAGGCATGAATTTTGTCTTCACTAATCAAGGTTAAAAGGTACCACTCTGAATAAAGTGTTGAGATCTTAAAAATTGTTTTGTATGTCTCCATATTCCTTTGCTTGTTTCTTCCTATGGCCCCCACGTCCCCAACTCAGTGTTCTCTGTCAATGTAGGTGAAGTTCTTTATGTGCCTTTTGGTAGTCCTTATCCCATTGTACCGTGAATATTAAATGTCTGCTTTTTCCACTGACCGGGAGCTTATCTAAGTGATGTATCCCATACTTAGATTTTTATCCTTTATTTGATCAATAATGCAGAAACTAGAAAAAATGCCTCGGTTTAAACATACTGCTTCTGTAGATGAGGAAGATGTGTTTCAACAACACATTCTTTAAAAATCAGAAACCTTAATAGCAGAAATAGAAAGAAAAAGACAGCAAGAGCATTCAAAAACTTTAGGAAAACCTATAGTTGGAAATATATTTACTTATAAAGAAGTCAGCTGGTCTATACAACAAAGTGTGCTTCTAGAACCTTTGGGTAAGGGTCAATTATACAAGCTCCTATGTGAGGAAGAGGTAAAAAAGTCTCCTCTTTTCATATTTTCTGTTTTAAAGAAAGAAATAAAAAGGGAGCCGGGCATGGTGGCGTGTGCCTGTAGTCCCAGCTATTCGGGAGGCTGAGGCTGGAGGATCTCTTGAGTCCAGGAGTTCTGGGCTATAGTGCACTATGCCGATTGGTGTCCACACTAAGTTCGGCATCAATATGGTGACCTCCTGGGAGCGGGGGACCACCAGGTTGCCTAAGGAGGGGTGAACCGGCCCAGGTCAGAAACGGAGCAGGTCAAAACTCCTGTGCTGATCAGTAGTGGGATCGTGCCTTTGAATAGCCACTACACTCCAGCCTGGGCAACATAGTGAGACTTCGTCTCTATTTAAAAAAAAAAAAAGAAAAAGGTAAGGTAAATTAATATATATATGAAAATTTTATAAATTTGGTGATTCCAGGTTATCTGATGAGCTTCTAATGATTCCCTAGTGGTACTATAACTTTATGTGAATTCACTCACAAAAGTTTATGTTCTTGTAATAACAGTATGTTTCTTAAAGAATCAATATTGGTTTCATAAGCAGGCTTAATGCTGATACTTTCTTAGGTGTTTTATTATATGTCATTCTCAGGCACTACAATTTTTGCATACGCTCATATCCCAGATTACAATAGATATATTCTTTATTGATTGGGAGCGACCTAAAGGAAAGGTTCTTAAAGCTGTTGAAGGTAACTGAAATAAACATTTGTACCAAAATTCTTTTGCTACCATTGCAGAGCAAAGGAGGTAAAACTCTTTTACTCATTTTATTTCACTGACCAGGTGAGGGTGGTGTACGAAGTGCCACTGTTCCTGTAAGCATATGGAGAACATATTTTGTAGCAAATGAATGGAATGAAATTCAGACTGTGAGAAAAATTAATTCACTCTTTCAAGTATTTATTGTCCTCTTCTTTTTGGAGGTATGAACTGTTTGATGTGATTGTATGGAACTTACATGTACCTTAGAAATATTAAACTAATATAATTCCAACTAAGTTTTCATGACAGTGGAAGATTTTTCTAAAGGTTGAAAGACTGTGGTGAGGCCATTAAAAAGACGTGACTTCAAAAAAATTGTGGTAAAATAAATTACATAATTTACCGTCATAAGTATTTTTAAGGGTAGAGTTTAATAGTGTTAAGTACATTCACATTGTCATGCAAAATCATCACCACCATTCATCTCTAGAACTCGTGGCAAAACTGAAACTCTGTACCTCTTAAACAACTTTGTATCAATTCCCTAACTTCTGGCAAACACTATACTATAATACTCCCTGTGTGTTTGACTGCTCTAGGTGAAAGGAGTAGCTTTAAAACCAATGGTTTGTATCAGAATCTGTTGGGGAGCTTTCATAAAATACCTATGCTTAGGCTTACCCTTAGAGACTATGTTCGATATAGTAGCTTTGAGGTAACCCCAGGTATCTGTATTTTGAAAAAGCTCCCTACCCCATGATCCATATTCTCCCCTGCATTAGAATCACTATTATAGGCCAGGCGCTGTGGCTCACACCTATAATCTCAGCACTTTGGGAGGCCAAGACGGGCGGATCACGAGGTCAAGAGATCGAGACCATCCTGACTAACATGGTGAAACCCCATCTCTACTAAAAATACAAAAAAAAAAAAAAAAAAAAAAAAAATTAGCTGGGCACGGTGGCACATGCCTGTAATCCCAGCTACTTTGGAGGCTGAGGCAGGAGAATCGCTTGAACCTGGGAGGCGGAGGTTGCAGTGAGCCGGGGTTGCGCCATTGCACTCCAGCCTGGACCACAGAGTGAGACATGGTCTCAAAAAAAAAAAAAAAAAGAATCACGATTGTAAATTTGATATTTTTCAACAAATTTTTATTGAACACTTACTATAGACTATGTTCCTTGCTAAGAGCTGGGGCTACGACTGAACACGACACAACATATTTGTGATATATTTGCAGTTATTTCATGGATTTGGTTGGAATTATTAAAGGAAGTATTCACTACTAAGTATGAGACTGAACCTGGAAACCGTTTATATAGGAATAGGTTTTCTCAGGAATTATCTGCTTAATTAAGGTTGAATATACATTATTAACTTTCAGCTCTGTCTGTCAGCCTTCCCTTTTTTTTCTTTCTTCATTCATTCTCTTTCCCCTTTCCTTTTTTAAAACTAGTAGAAGAATGTTTGTGTCCCTAGGGCTTTTAAATGATAAAAGCAATACTTGCAAAATTTACTTGAAGTCGCGTTTTGGTTTTTTCTTTTGTTTTTTTTTTTAAGTGGATAGATAAAAATTATATATGTTCATAAACACAGTGTTTTGATACATGTATTCATTGTGGAATGGCCAAATTAAGCTAGTTTATCTGTTACCTCACATACTTCTTTTTTCTTGTACTAAAGTTTGTGTGTGTGTGTGTGTGTGTGTGTGTGTAAGAGTGTTTCCTCAACTTTAAAAGGTGTTACATGAAAATGTTTTATAGTCAAGTAAGTTTGGAAAATATTGGATTCAATATAATAATGTAGCTACTTTTTACTGTAAAACTTCTCAGAGCCTTTATTCTACAAGGTGGGAGGCATGGTGGTGAGTGTAATAGATGGACCAACTGTATTTAAACATGGATTCCTTTTTCAGAGAACTTACGTCCTTTAGAAGACATTTTGTAGTATACTGTTTTAAAGTATAAAAGTGTTTAGTACAGTGCCTAGCACATGTTAAATACTCATGAAATACTAGTTGTTGATTTCATACATTGTAGTTTACTGATGAAAGTTTTATCCTTTTAACTAAATTTTTAGTTTTGTCAATGTGTATGACAGTAAGATTATATTTGACCCTTAGTTGTATTGAGAAGAATACCAAATGAACTAAATATTGTGTAATAAATACTTTGTAGTTTTTTTTAAATTTATTTTTATTTATTTATTTATTTAAAGATGGGGTTTCACCATGATGGCCCGGCTGGTCTTGAACTCCTGACCTCAGGTGATCCACCCACCTTGGCCTCCCAAAGTGCTAGGATTATAGGCGTGAGCCACCACATCTGGCCAATACTTTGTAGTTAAAATACTGAATAATAATTATTTTTATCTAGATCTTCTACTATTTATCAAACTTGGATATTTTAGTTTTTCAAGGTGAGCAGTAGGGAGTGGTTTTCCATTTTCAGTCTAGAGTGTATAAATTTGTACATGTGTGTATAAATTATTATTTTTTCTTTTTACTCGAGGTTGTGGGATTCAAGAACTTAGCATTAATGGACTCATCTTCTAGTCTTTCTAGAAGCCCACCTAGCTACATAGCTCCTTACAGCCGCATTTTGAGATATGCAGTGTCTGCTGCTCTTTGGCTAGCCATTGGAATTATACAGGTAATAGAGATTATACTTCTAAGTAACATTGGTTCTTTATTAACTCTGCCTACTTACTGGTTATTATCAAATATTGACCACATCCTGATTTCTGTAGCAGAAAGAAGGTGACAAGAACAATAGCTAATAGTCAGTTCTTTTTTTTCCCCCTCCAGAACAGAGTCTCACCCAGGCTGGAGTGCAATGGCATGATCTTGGCTCACTGCAGCCTCTGCTTCCCATGTTCAGGCAATTCTTCTGCCTCAGCCTCCTAAGTAGTTGAGACTACAGGTGTCCACCACCATGCCCAGATAATTTTTTTGTATTTTTAGTAGAGATGAGGTTTCACCATGTTGGCCAGGCTATTCTTGAACTCCTGACCTCAGGTGATCCACCCTCCTTGCCCTCTCAAAAGTGCTGGGATTACAGGTATGAGCCACTGCACTCAGCCAGTAGTCAGTTCTTATATTGTATTAGGCACTGTATTAAGTAGTCACAGTTGATCCATCATTTCTTGGCCTTTTAGCTAAGAGGTCCTTGAACAACATGGGCTTGAACTGTTTGACTGAACTCATTGAGAATAGAAAATACAGTGTTCACAGAATGCAAATTCTGCATCTGTAGAGGGTCAACTTTCTGTATACATGGGTTCTAGCAGGACTGACTGTGGGACTTGAGTATGGGTGTCTTTTGGTGTACTTGGGGGATCTGGAATCAATCCCGACATACTAAGGGACAATTGTAATTTCATTATACCTAATAATGTTTTAATATTTTATTATAGCTCTCAGAGCTAGACTCTGTTATTATCCTTATTTTATAGATGAGGAAACTGAGACACAGGAAGGTTAAAAAATTGCCTAAAGTCATGCACCTTGTAAGTGGCAGAACTGGAATTTGAACTCAGGCAACATGATTTCAGAGTTCGCGTTCTTGTCGATAGTGAGGCTCTTAAGGGCCTTTGAGAGTCTGCAGCTTTATAGTCATAGGACAGACTCCTTGTTTAGTTTATATGTAAATACAGGGACAGATAAGCTACCCTAAATATGTTCTTTTCTTTTGAAACATAACTTATCATTTACATTTATTTATATATCATGAATCTCACTCAAATTGCTTGTACCCCTTGGGGAGTTTTTCTTGAAATATTTATTGAAATGACTAAAACTAAAAATAAGTCTTTTTAGCCTCAGGTCCCATGGATCTAGCAGAGGCTATAAAGAAAAAGAAGAGGAAAGGAAGAAAAGAAAAAGAAAGAAGCAGCAGCAGCAAGCATCTAACTTTCAGACACTCATAAACAGAAAGACTCCTGTTTGCTTAAAAATTTCCTTAACTTTTATAATCAGCACTTGAAGATAGGACCTCCAGAGAAACCAGTTTTAACTTCCTATAGCTGGCTACTAGCTATCTACCTAAAATAGCCTATTTTTAAGGATCTTTTGAGATTTTTGTTTTTTTTTTTAGAGACAGTCTTCCCCTGTCTCCCATTCTGGACTGCAGTGGTGCCATCATAGCTCACTGCAGCCTCAACCTCCTGGGCTCAAGCAATCTTTCTGCCTCAGCCTTCTGAGTAGCTGTGACTATAGGCACATGCCACCACACCCAGCAGCTTTTTTGTTGTTGAGACAGAGTTTCACTCTTGTCACCCAGGCTGGAGTGCAATGGCACAATCTTGGGTCACTGCAGCCTCTGCCTCCCAAATTTAAGTGATTCTCCTGCCTCGGCCTCCTGAGAAGCTGGGATTACAGGCACCCACCACCACACCTAGCTACTTTTTATATTTTTAGTAGAGACAGGGTTTCACCATGTTGGCCAGGCTGGTCTCAAACTCCTGGACTCAAGTTCTCCTCCCACCTTGGCCTCCCAAAGTGCCAGGATTACAGGTGTGAGCCACCATGCCCAGCTGATCTTTTGGGATTGAGATATTTTTAAGAGCGCTTATTCTTAGAGAATTAGGTCCAGTTGGTGGTATTCATTAATCTGAGGATTAACTTTTTATTTTTATTTTTTAATTTTTATTTATTTATTTATTTTTAGAGATGGGGTCCCGCTATGTTGCCCAGACTGGAGTGCAGTGGCTATTCACAGGCACAATCCCACTACTGATCAGCACCAGAGTTTTGACCTGCTCTGTTTCCAACCTGGGCTGGTTCACTCCTCCTTAGGCAACCTGGTGGTTCCCCGCTCCTAGGAGGTCACCATATTAATACCGAACTTAGTGTGGACACTCAATCGGCATAGCGCACTACAGCCCAGAACCCTTGGGCTCAAGCGATCCTCCCACCTCAGCCTCCCAAGTAGCTGGGACTACAGGCACGCCCTGCTGCGCCAGGCAGGATTAACTTTTTAAATGTATACTTATTTTAAATTGATGATACTTATTTAAACTTGAAACTACAGAGATAGAATTAGTGAAAGATAGCTGACAACCAGAAAGGAAGACAAACATATTAGAATTTGAAACAAAATGGAATCAAGAGTATAGGGTTTGACATTTATTATCAATGTAATGGTAAGGAAATATTTTGTACAATATACCAATATATTTTGTGAGTATATCAGACTCGTCTAGATGTAGAGAGTCTAAAGCAGTATCGTCTGAAGCTTTTCATATTTGGTTCAATATAACACAACCAAAAACAAAGTAAGAGTGGCTGAAATCAAAGAGAACCTTGTCTTTCCCATGAAGAAGAAGAACAGAGGTCAAAAGTACAGGGCTGGAGTGGAATGGTGGCTTAGTGCTACTGTCAGGACCCCAAAGCTTGTCCTTCTGCCTGGCCACAAGCGACTTCCATCTCCACAGTCCCTTCATGGTCCATAATGGCCAATGAGTTACAGGAGGGAATTAGGGTGGGTGAGCTCACCTTCTCTTCAAGAGCCTTTTCAGAAGTACCTTTCAACATTAAGTTCTTGGCTAGAACTTAATTGCATGGCCGCACCTAGCTGCATTAGAATCTTTCAGCTGGGCAGCAGTATATACTGCTTGAGGGAGGGATCTGTTACTAAGGAGAAAGGATTGTTGGGACAGCACCTAGCAATCTCAGACACCACCAGCTAACTTCATTCTTTGCTTCTCACTTTTCCATCAGCTAGATAATAAAGCATTTCTCCTCACTGTAATCTAAAATGATCAGTGTTTACATATTTGTCAAGAATCCTTAAGGGTTCCTTTAACAACCTGTTACAGTTTTAGAAATTTTTTAGGTCGGGCGTGGTGGCTTGTGCTTGTAAACTCAGGACTTTTGGAAGCCGAGGTGGGCGGATCATGAGGTCAGGAGATCGAGACCATCCTGACCAACATGGTGAAACCCTGTCTCTACCAAAAATACAAAAATTAGCTGGGTGTGGTAGTGCATGCCTGTAACCCCAGCTACTCGGGAGGCTGAGGCAGGAGAATCGCTTGAACCCGGGAAGCGGAGGTTGCAGTGAGCTGAGATCACACCACTGCACTCCAGCCTGGGTGTCAGAGTGAGACCCTGTCTCAAAAAATAATGAAATAAAATGAATGAATGAATAAATAAATAAATTTGTCTAAACTGTTCTTCATTCTAATAATGCCAGGTTTCATTGTTCACTCCTTTTATTTCCTTAAACACAGCCTCTTCAGCTTTTAAGTGGTTATCTTTTATTTTTTAAACCTTGAGCATTGCTGTTTTTCACATCCTTTAAAGAGATTTAAAATGTATAGAGAGAGTATGTAGGAAAACCTTCTCAGCAGTCAGCTGCTGTAGATTCATTTACCTATTCATTCACATATTTGAGTATGTCTTAAGTACTGGAGCTCATGGATATGTTTTTATAGGAACAAGTGACAGATTGTGCCAAGTGCTGTGAAGAGGATCAGCAGGGACATGAGATAGAGAATAAATAGAAAAGAGGGGAGTGGAGGGTAGGAACAGGGGACAGTGGGGACAGCTTTAAATAGGGGAGTTAGGAAATTTTGTATTTTTCTGAAACATATCTAAAAAGATTTACCATGTGAAATTTTTATTTATAAAATTTCTGTTTCTAATATTAAATCTAAGAAAACACTGGAAACCATTCCATGTGAGTTTTTAATACATTGTAGTCAGAATACTAGATATATGCTTTTCATGTGCATATGCTGTTCTGTCAGAGAAAATTAATTTGAAAAGTAAAGAATTGTCTCATGTCTTGGCATTTAGATGAGCAAAATTGCAAAACCAAACATAAATCTGACCATTGATGAATTCGTTTATCCTACGTTTTAAAAAGACTTTTTCTTTCTTCCCACATGTTTGTCATAGCTTGTTTTAATGACACAGAAAAGTTTTCAAAACTCAAAATAGGCTCCCTCAATGACTCAACACAATTCTAAAATCCTCCTCCCTTTGACAGAAGAGTCAGAAATGAAAAGTAGGATTTTATCCCTTAGGAACTGTTAAAGGCCACTGTGCTCTTGGTTGGAACTTTTTTTTTCTTAAGATATTACACTGTGGCTGTAAAAGAAAATTAAAATCCTAAAAGCTAATAAGCATAAACTTGGCTTAATGTTTCAGATCATGTTCTTTGCTGTCTTTTATGAGAGATTTATAGAAGATAAAATTCGACAGTTCGTTGATTTATGCTCTATGAGTAATGTAAGTATTTTCTGACTTCATCTTGCAACTGTTAATTTTCACTGTTTAAAGGTCATGAGTTTGTTAAGAGAGGCTTTAAAAGTGATTTGGTATGATTGAATTTTTGGTCCAATTTTCTACCGGTTGTTAATTCCAGAGATAATGATAATGAGCTACAAGTTAATACTGCCTTAGTTTTTTCATATATATATTTTTTAAACAGTCTTGCTCTGTCACCCAGGCTGGAGTGCAGTGGCACCATTTTGGTATACTGCAACCTCTGGCTCCCAGGTTCAAGCAATTCTCATACCTCAGTCTCCTGAGTAGCTGGGATTACAGGTGTGCCTCACCATGCCCAGCTAATTTTTTTTTGTATTTTTGGTAGAGATGGGGTTTCACCATGTTGGCCAGGCTGATCTTGAACTTCTGACCTCAGGTGATCCACCCACCTCCCACCTCCTAAAGTGCTGGGATTACAGGTGTGAGCCACCGTGCCCAGCCTGTTTTTTTAATGTTTATTTGCAGTTTTTTAATTATGAATTTCTTATGATGCAAATAGTTCATTCATCTATATAGCATGCCTGCTTCTTGCTGCTGCTTCTCTTTTCTTTTTTCCCCTCCCTCCCTTCCTTCTTTCCTTTCTGAAAAGGTCTCGCATTATAATCCAGACTGCAGTACAGTGGTGCAGTTGTAGTTCACTGCAACCTTGACCTCCTGGGTTCAAGCAGTCCTCCCACCTCAGCCTCCCAAGTATCTGGGACCACAGGTGTGCACCACCAACACTCAACTATTTTTTGTGTGTAGCGACAGAGTTTCCCTATGTTGCCCAGGCTTATTTCTCCTTTTCTTGGAAAATATCTTTAATCTCCTTTTCAAGCACTTAAAAAAAAACCTTATTATCCTTGATTACTTTATTATCTTCTTTATATATTTCCCAAGAATAAAATCTTCATTGTTTTGGGGAAAAGAAAGAAATTTTAAGGAAAACTTAATTTTTTATTGTTTTGTAGATGAGTCCTTTTTATTGTTTTATAGATTAATTGCTTCTTTTTATTCTCTTTTTATAGATATCAGTGTTTCTGTTATCCCACAAATGTTTTGGATATTATATTCACGGTAGATCAGTACATGGGCATGCAGATACTAATATGGAAGAAATGAATATGAACCTTAAAAGAGAATCGGTATGAAAATGTTTTATATCTTTTTGTTTTTAAGTTGAGAAATGGATTCTTATAAATCTAGGATTTGTTTTTTTTTAAAGTCTTTATTGATCACTTCTTTTTTTTCTTGATACGGAGTCTCACTCTGTCACCCAGGCTCAAGTGCAGTGGCTCGATCGTGGCTTACTGCAGCCTCTACCTCCCGGGTTCAAGTGATTCTTCTGTCTCAGCCTCCCTAGTAGCTGGGACTACAGGCATCCACCACATCTGGCTAATTTTTGTATTTTTAGTAGAGACGGGATTTCACCGTGTTGACCAGACTGGTCTTGAACTCCTAACCTCAGGTGTTCAGCTTTGGCTGTGATCTCAGCACTCCTAAAGTGCTGGGATTACAGGTGTGAGCCATTGTGCCTGGCCTATTGATCACTTTGAAAGTTGCTAGGGACCAACTCATTACCCCAAACGTTCATAAAGGGAAGGACTCTAATTTTATCTTGCAGTTCCTATATGAACTATATTTCACAGTAACCAGTTCATGAGGGAAAGTTCCTCCTTATAGAGGAAAGTAGAAGGAATTGTAAGTTAGAAAAATTACCATTTTGCAATGACTAATTGATCGATGAATGTAAGCTGCCATCATCAGTGGATGCTAAACAATTAAGTATTTGTTGGCATGGAACTTTATAATGAAGGATTAGGTTGACATAATCTGGACACACTGTAAATAAAAATAAGGAAAACTGACATACACACTTCCTGCCACGATGCAGTAGGAAGTACATAACATCACACATGAAGCATTTTTGGCTAAAAAACTGAACTTGAATATAATCAACCCTCTAGCTCTACCCACCAGTTTGTAGGAAATACAAGGGATAAAGGAACAAATTAAATAGCACCATAGGAAGTAATTAGCCAGGTCTGGAGTATAGGCTGCCTCACAGGATAAATGACTCAGTGTCTCCAAACAAATCAGTGGCATGAAAAGAAATGGAAGGGTGATGGTGGCAGTGTATGAACTATTATAAGAAAGGTTTGATAAACAAACTAATGAGATACAATGTATAGACTTTATTTGGATCCTGATTCAGACAAACCAACTATTTGAAAAATCTGGTAGATTTTTAGTGGGCTAAATGTTAAGGAACAATTACTTTTGTTAGGTATGAAATGGCATGGTAGTTATTTATTTTGAAGTCCTTATTAGAAATACATACAAAGCATTTACAGATGAAATGACATGTCTGGGTTTTACTTTAAAATACTCTAAGAAAAAAGAAAATTCAGGAGGATAGATTAAACAAAATTAATAAAATATTCATAATTGCTGAAGCTAGGTGATGAGTGGTTTACTATTCTCTCTAGTATGTACATTTGGAAAACTTCATAATAAAATTTTTTAGAGAATAAGATATGCACGCCTATAATCCCAGCACTTTGGGAGGCTGAGGCGGGTGGATCACCAGGTCAAGAGATCGAGACCATCCTGGTCAACATGGTGAAACCCCGTCTCTACAAAAAAAAAAAAAAAAAAGAATAAGTTATGCTTAAAAGGAAAAATCAAGAAGATTTCGTGATTAAGGGGCCATACCTGTGACTTGTAAGAATTTGATACATGATAATGGCATTTCAGAGAAGAATTTATTTAATACATTGAACTGGATCACTTGATTAAACATTAGAAATTATGTTTTGATTAAAAAGTTAAATGCAAATCATGAAGCCATAAGAACCTAGAACAGGATATTTCAGACTGGGGGATGATATTCTAAGGCTAAAGAATAGAAAGCATCAAAAAGGGAATATTAATTGATGTTACTTTATTAATATGGTACATTTACATATCAAACAATCATAAAAGAGTTAGGATAAAATACTTATAACAAATATTACAAAGATATTGAAAACAGTGTTAAGAGTTATACAAATCACTAAGAAAACACTAAATTAAAATCTCAATGGAAAAATGACAAATATACACTAATAAACCTCTAAAAATATTTTAACTCATAATCAAAGAACTGACTATAAAATCAAAGAACTGACTATAAAAATAATAGTTTTCCTCTCTTCAAATTAGCAAAATATTTTTTAGAAAAACTAATACTTGTCGGGCGCAGTGGCTCGCGCCTGTAATCCCAGCACTTTGAGAGGCCGAGGTGCATGGATCACGAGGTCACAAGATTTAGACCATCCTGGCCAACATAGAGAAACCCTGTCCAGAAAGAGAGAGAGAGAGAGAGAAAGAAAGAAAGAAAGAAAGAAAAGCTAATACTTACTATCAAGGACACAGTGAAATGGGCAACCACAAAGCTACCGGTCGCAGGTTAAATTTATGCAGACCTCTGGAAGGTGTTTGGGCAATGTATACGAAGAGCTTTTTAAAAGTTCATAATCTTTGTTTCACTTATTTTATGAATGTTAGCTCAAGGAAAAAATAACAATATGAACAGCTACTTAAATTCAAGATCTTCATCGCAGAGGTTATTCCTAAGGGGAAAAGTATGTAAAATTGGAGAATATTAAATAAATTGGCTTACCTTTGTGGTGAAATCTTAAATAGATGGTAAAATCATATTTTATAGAATATTTAACGACATAGTGAATTGCTCAGGCTGTAACTTTAAGTGAAAAGAAATCATTGTGATCCCATTTTTATGCTGTCTATATGTATTTTCCTTGGGGAAAAGATTGGAAATGAAATTCCTTAAGATAATCTGTATCCCTGGGTGTTGAGATTTTAGGTAAATTTTTTTTCTTTTTTGTATTTCTCTTTATTTTGTAAATTTTCTGCAATGGCATGTATGGTTTTTTGTTGTTGTTTTGAGACGGAGTTTCACTCTTGTTACCCAGGCTGGAGTGCAATGGTGCGATCTCAGCTCACCACAACCTCCACCTCCTGGGTTCAGGCAATTCTCCTGCCTCAGCCTCCCGAGTAGCTGGGATTACAGGCACGCACCACCATGCCCAGCTAATTTTTTGTATCTTTAGTAGAGACGGGGTTTCACCATGTTGACCAGGATGGTCTCGATCTCTTGACCTCGTGATCCACCCGTCTCGGCCTCCCAAAGTGCTGGGATTACAGACTTGAGCCACCGTGCCCGGCCTGGCATGTATGTTTTTAATCAAGAAAAAAAATTTTTTTTTTTTTTTTTTTTTTTGAGACGGAGTTTCCCTCTTGTTACCCAGGCTGGAGTGCAATGGCGCGATCTTGGCTCACTGCAACCTCCACCTCCTGGGTTCAGGCAATTCTCCTGCCTCAGCCTCCTGAGTAGCTGGGATTACAGGCACGTGCCACCATGCCCAGCTGATTTTTTGTATTTTTAGTAGAGACGATGTTTCACCATGTTGACCAGGATGGTCTCGATCTCTTGACCTCATGATCCACCCGCCTCGGCCTCCCAAAGTGCTGGAATTACAGGCTTGAGCCACCGCACCCGGCCCCGAAAAATTTTTTTAGAGAAGTTCACTACATGTCTTCTTCCTTTAAGTGTATAGAAAGCCAAGTGCCATATTATATTTGCAGGTTCGATTTAGGCAAAGAAGGAAAATATTAACCACTGCAGTGGGTAGACAGGCTTTATGGAGGCAAGAGAACTTGTGTCGAACCTTGAAGCATCAATCAAATAAAAATTTTTTTTTACGTATTTGTGGTTGTCAGGATCCAAGTTGTGTTAAGGAAACCCAAAATGAATATCTGGTTTATAACATTAACTGTTTGGTCATGTATTACTATGTTTTATTGTAATTAATTAAGAAAGCATCTCAAAAATGTTTAGAAAACAAGAAAAAACCATTTACAATTATAAATCTGGTTAACTCCAAAGCAAGACCTTTCAGCATACATTAATAGAGCAATAGGTTAATTATAAAGAAAACTAAGAATATCAATAAATAATAAATATGTATGTGTCTTTATATAATTACCTTTACTCTGCTCTACTTAAATATGTGCCCTACTTAAATATATATATCTGCCCTACTTAAATATATAAATATATATTATATCATGTTATAAATATATTTATATATTATATATAAGTAAATATATATATTTAAGTAGAGAAAATGAAATGATATAAAATCCTGTAAAGGAGTATGAATTAGAATAAAGTAGAAATTGGCAAAATCTGGGAACTTTGGATAATGGTAGAATCTGTTTCTCAAATACGGTTTCAGTAAACTTCACTTAGCATCTGAATCTTGTAATACATGATAACAGCTAAAAAAAAGTTTTATATTTTATTTTTGAGGCAGAAAATTTTTAATAATATTGATGTTAACTTAAATTTTTTAACTTTTCAGGAAAATTTGTGTAGCCAGAGAGGTTTGGAATCCAACACAGATGGTCAGACTTTTCAGATTGCGATTTCTAACCAGATGAGACAACACTATGACAAAATTCATGAGACTCTAATAAGGGTTTGTATAAAATACAGTTAAGATATATTTTGTCAATATTTAATGTTTCTAGATACCAAGAACATAAGACTTTGCATGTATTCATTTCTCTTTTTTACATCAGAAAAATGGCCCTGCTAGACTATTGAGTTCATCAGCAAGTACTTTGGAGCAGAGTATAAAAGCCTATCATATGATGAATAAATTTCTTGGCTCCTTCATTGACCATGTATGTATGTCAACATTTATATTTAAGCTAGAATCAAATGCAATTTTTAGAAAGTTGAATGGGAATGCCAATTATTTCTTCAAGTCAACTAAGTCAGTAAACTTAGAACCTTTCCTTAGGACCTTCCCATTTTTTGTCACTTTCAATACATAGGAATAATATATTTTAAAAAGGCATTTCTAGCCATTAACTATGACTTAGAAATAGAGTTAGGTTATACAAAAGTAAAATGAGATTTTATGTGTCTGTTAACATGATGATGATTCCCTTAAACTGTGTGTGCACTGGAGTTTTGTTAGCCAGTTACCAAAATATCACTCTATTATTCATTATTGAAATCCTTGTGTTATGCTATGATTAAATTTCTGAAAAGCTTTGTATAAACTCATTTTCAGTTTGTCTAGCCCTAAATACTACTAAGGGCATTTAAAATTTAAAACATTCCTAAAGAGAATTTTGACATAGGTTTCAGTGTAGAAAATTCAGTCTTGGCTGGGTGCAATGACTCACACCTGTAGTCCCAGCACTTTGGGAGGCCGAGGCCAGCAGATCACAAGGTCAGGAGATCAAGACCATTCTGGCCAACATGGTGAAACCCCATCTTGACTAAAAATACAAAAACTAGCTGGGTATGGTGGTGCACACCTGTAGTCCCAGCTACTTGGGAGGCTGAGGTGGGAGGATTGCTTGAACCCAGGAGGCAGACGTGTCAGTGAGCTGAGATCATGCCATTGCACTCCAGCCTGGTGACAGAGGGAGACTCTGTCTCAAAAAAAAAAAAAAATCAATCTTTTTGAAGAACAGATTTTCTTTGTTACTATTCATTCTTCATTTTCCCTCCCACTGATTTTACATTAATTGGAAAGCATTATTTCACTGCTGCTGTTCTTGAAGTGATGCTGTCTTTTTTCTTTGTTTTTTTTTTTTTAGGTTCATAAGGAAATGGATTACTCTATAAAAGACAAGTTGCTTCTTGAAAGAATTCTTGGAATGGAATTCATGGAACCAGTGGAAAAAAGCATATTTTACAATGGTATCTTTTAAATCCCTTTACAGAACTTGAAAACTGTTTTCAAAGTTTGAGGAAAAAAAGTACTTATAGATATTTTTCTTTTGATTTAATAATTTTATGGCTTTAAAAAAAATCTTTTGATTATTAAATCTTTTGTTCTTTTGATTGAACAATTTTATAGCTTGTAAAAAAGGAATTACAGGAAGTGACTCTTGCCTGTAGTCCCAGCACTTTCGGAGGCTGAGGCAGGTGGATCACCTGAGGTCAGGGGTTCCGACCAGCCTGGCCGACATGGTGAAACTTCATCTCTACTAAAAATACAAAAATTAGCTAGACTTGTCAGTGTGCACCTATAATCCCAGCTACTTGTGAGGCTGAGGTAGGGAGAATTACTTGAACCCGAGAGGCAGAGGTTGCAGTGAGCCAAGATTGCGCCACTGCAAAAAACAAAAAAACCTTTACTAGTACAAGCCACAAATGGATATACCCCTGTAACTAGTACCCTTGTTAAGAGAAAACATAACCAGCACTTCAGATGCCCTCTTGTATAAAGCAGATGTTTCTAACTCGGTATCCAGGGGCTGCTTCAGTTCTCTGGATTTCCCTGAAATTGTTTGCAAGATTTGTATATGTATACTTTTTTTCCTCCTAGTGAAATAGTCTATTGTTTTCATCAGACTTTTGTTGTTGTTGTTTTTAAGAGACAGGTTCTTGCTCTGTTGCCCAGGCAGGAGTGCAGTGGGGTGATGATATTAATAGCTCACTCTAACCTCAAACTCCTGGGTTCATGGAATCCTCCCATCTCAGCCTCCCAAATAGCTAAGACTATAGCTTTTTTTTTTTTTTTTGGTAGAGATGGAGTCTCGCTATGTTGCCTAGGCTGGTCTTGAACTCCTGGCCTCAAGCAGTCCTCCTGCCTCAGCCTCCCAAAGTGCTGAAATTACATACATGAACTACTATACCCAGCCTTGTCATAATCTTTTAAAAAGGGTATTCATATCCCAATAAGGATGAAACCCACTGGTAGAGTGAAAAGAGGTCTTAGAGCAAAACCTTAGGGGGACTATTTGAGATAAATTCTTGAACTTTTGAACACTATGTACTATTCTGTGCCTTGATGGGTATTTTCTCTAATTTACTCTATCTTAGGGAATGTTTATAAGATTAATTTAGCCTTTAGTTATATAAAGAAATAGAGAAAGGTTATTCATTACCAACAATTGGTCCTAATGTTAAAACTGTTTTTGGCTGGGTGCAATGGCTTACGCCTGTAATCCTAGCACTTTGGAAGGCCGAGGTGGGTGGATCACGAGATCAAGAGTTCAAGACCAGCCTGGCCAAGATGGTGAAAATTCCTCTCTACTAAAAATACAAAAATTAGCTGGGTGTGGTGGTGAGCACCTGTAATCCTAGCTACTTGGAAGGCTGAGGTAAATAAATAAAAATTTTAAAAAGATAAAACTGCTGCCGGGCGCTGTGGCTCATGCCTGTAATCTCAGCACTTTGGGAGGCCAAGGCAGGCTGAGGTCAGGAGTTCAAGACCAGCCTGACCAACATCATGAAACCCTGTTTCTACTAAAAATAAAAAAAATTATCCGGGCCTGGTGGCGCATTCCTGTAATCCCACATACTGGGGAGGCTGAGGCAGGAGAATCGCTTGAACCTGAGGGGCAGAGGTTGCAGTGACCCAAGATCACACCACTGCACTCCAGCCTGGGCAATAAGAGCAAAACTCCATCTCAAAAAAAAACAAACAAACTGCTTTTTATGAGTTTTTTAACCTCTTTTAGAGTAGCAAATCTTAAAATTTTTGTTTATTTTTGTGTAAGCCATGAAGTATTGTATATAGTATATTTCTAATATGCTGTTTTTAAATATCCAAATTTTATCACCAGAAATTTATCACAGACTTGTTCCTTTTTAAAATTTCTAATTTATATTTTCTAAATTTTTTTTAATAGATGAAAGTTATTCTTTCAGCAGTGTTCTGTATTATGGAAATGAAGCTACCCTTCTTATTTTTGATCTGCTGTTCTTCTGCGTGGTGGATTTGGCTTGCCAAAATTTTATTTTAGCAGCCTTCCTTACATATCTACAACAAGAGGTAAATTTAAAAAATTTTTCTACATTTTCTTGAGAGAAATATGTTAGTAGTAGATATTTATTTTCATAGCAGAGAGTAACAATGTCTGCTTTCACTACAATTTTGTAAAGGTTTAGAATATGACTAACCCCACCAAAAGAAAGAGTAACATTTCAACCAACTGCACTCTGTCCTTTAGGGTCAATGAAATACCAGGGTCTAGTGGAACGCATAAGTTGCTTGATTGTGCTTGGAAGAGGAATCCTATAGGAAGACACTTAACTGCTAGTCTCCTAGATGCTACAAGTGAACAGTAATTAGAGTCCTTTTCACCCTCTCCACCAGATAGATGTTAATGTAACAAAAAAGCAAGCACTGGAGAGCTAGCTCAGGGCTCAGCACCAAAGGGAAGACCCCTTTAGCTTGCAACTTTGACACCTTCCCTACCTGTGTGAATAAAAAGCAACTTCGTATATGAGTGTGGACTCTGAAATGGAGATATCAAGAAATGGCAAATCTGTTCTTGAAATGTTGTTATTATCAACTGAATATTCTCCATTATGTCAAAGAATATATACAAGTAAGATGCAATTTATTAGCCCTTGACAGTGATCTAGAATTGTGAAGAAATTCTGTCCTTAGCGAGTAGATTCTTTTGATGTTTCCGTAGCTTTTAGACTTAGAAGAAAGTTGCCTTTCTAAATATTTTAAAGTGTATCCCTGTGAACATGAGAGAATTTGTATTATTAATTCATAAGAATTTATTCTAAATGAGAACATATATTGCTTTGAAAGTATGAAAGAAATTATCATCTTGAAATAACTTTGCGTTTCACCCTGGGATTCAGATGCCTGATAGATGAAAATAGTTGAGAGAATTAGCTAATTGAATCTAGATATTTTATTGATATGCATATTTCATTTTGTTTATATTTCTTTTCATTCAGAATTGTTTTAATTTTCCAGATTTTTAGATATATCCGTAATACAGTAGGACAAAAGAATTTGGCATCCAAAACATTGGTGGATCAAAGATTTTTGATTTAACTTCCTGAATAAATAACTTAAAGACTCAGTATAATCATGGCCAAAAGAAAGTGTCATGATATCAGGTTAGTTTGCCATATATTTTAAGACTTGTAATGTAAACTATTCTGTTTTTGTTTTTTATTTGCAGAAAGATTTATTTTTATAATTTGGGAATATATAATGTGATATAGTAGAAAATATTGTTTTCCCATTGTGTGTGGTACTTAATACACTAAGTAATTAACAGTGACAGTGAGGCAAAAAAAAATCTAAATGTTGCTTTCAGCATAGTACTTTTTAATGATAATTAAAATAGTCTTCATCATTTGTCTCTGTAGATTATTTTATAAACTGAGAGCTGTCTGAATTTTCTCACATTGACAAAATAATTTGATTCCAAGTTCAAGACTAGTTTTCAGTTGGATATTTTCATGTTTTATGTGCTTATGGTTAAATAAATATTGAAAGATATTTTCAAGTTTACTTAGAAATTTTAAATTGTGTTATTGCTGATTCAATTTGCCTCATTCTAATTGTTCACCGTATCTGGCAGTCAATTAATTCACTGTTGGATTAATATGCATCTCATGAAGTGATACCTATTCATTCCTTTGTATAGGTCAGTATACTCTTTCCATGAAATACGTTTGCATTTCTAACATAGTTTACATTTTTTAAGCTATAATGTGTGACATTTTTCCCAATATTGTTTTTTATACATTTTAATTTCTTAATATTTTAAGAGTTCTCTCCCCGTTTTGCTTTTTCAATTATGTTTAAAGACTGTAAATAACAAACTGTAAGGCTGGGTGCTGTGGCTCACACCTGCAATCTAGTACTTTGGAAGGCCAAGGCAGGTGGATCACTTCAGGTCAGGAGTTCGAGACCAGCCTGGCCAACATGTTGAAACCCTGTCTTTACAAAAAATACAAAAATTAGCTGTGTGTGGTGGCACATGCCTGTAATCCCAGTTACTTGGGTGAGGCACGAGAATTGCTTGAACCCAGGAGGTGGAGGTTGCAGTGAGCCAGATAGCACCACTGCACTCCAGCCTGGATGACAGAGTAAGACCTATCTTAGGAAAAAAAAAAAACAAAATACTGTAAATGTATCATGTTTCTTACTGCTTTCTGTGTTAATGCTATGTAAATACTTAAAATGCAATACTGTACAAATATTGTTTATATTTTCTCAGTTGAAAATATATACTAAAAGATTTGGTGTTTCTGTTTTCTGTTTGATTAATGTATATCTCATGCATTTAGGAATATAGCATTATTGGGGCAGAGGTCCCAGCCGTTGCCAAAGTTGAATCTTTCACATTTCCCTGAATCTTGAGGATGACTGAAAAGAAAGTCTTTGAAACTACTGTGTCTGAAGGATCACAGTACAGGAATGCCTTTATAAAAGCTGCAGAGATAGATACATTACTGGCATGGATTTTTAAAACCACTCACTCAGAAGCATATGTAAGAAATTCAACCATCATTCAACACAGAAGTTAATTTTAGTGTAAATGTTTTTAAGTATTAAATTTCACAATAAAGGATTTATTGGCTTACTTGCTGATAAAACACAGAAAACATTTAAAATCATTCTTAATTAATTTTGTATGATATTTTTATTTTGGTTAGATGCATAAAAATTAGTTCAGATTTTCATACACTGTTGACTCCTTTGTTCACATTGTCACAATTTACAACACTGTTGACTCCTTTGTTCACATTGTCACAATTTACATTTCATGATCATGTGCATGTTCACTAGATTCATTACCCTTTGTTTATTTCTGTAGTACGCAATCACTGTACTTTGAATCTTATATCCCTGATTTTACTGATTTTCTAGAAACATTTGATGTCTCTTCATCATTTCATAAGAAACAAAACCTAGAGAGGTTGTTTAGAAGCTGTTGTGCACTTTGTATGCTCCTTAGAAACATATAAGCCCTTAAAATACGTCTGTAGACCCGGGCCTTGGTTATGAGAGATTTGTAAATGCTTGCTTCTCTGGCACTGCTCTCTTAACTAACTGCCTTTTGAGAGGGTTTTGCTGGTTACCTACATTGAGGAACATCCAAAATGATCATTAACTCAGCTCTTGCAAGTATGAAGCATGTATCCTTTTTGTAAATATTGACAAATATAAGCTGAGGGGAAATGAATGTAAGTCAAAGAACAGTGAGCAGTGTGACTTAATGAAAAATGCTCCAAATTTAGTAACAGAAGCCCTGGATTCAAATTAGAATTTTGCCCCTGTTACTTACAAGCTTTGGTATCTTGAACAAAGTCATTTGGCATCTCTGAGCTTTATTCTACATCTCTACAATGAAAATAATACCCTTTGCTTACCACTTGTTGGAAGGGTGTGTGTGTGTGTGTGTAATGGGGTCTCACTCTTCTCACCAAAGTTAGAATGCAGTGGCATGATCTTGGCTCACTGCAACTTCTGCCAGGCTCAAGCAGTCCTTCCATCTCAGCCTCCCAAGTACCTGGGACAACAGGTGTATGCCACCACGCCCAGCTAATTTTTTGTACTTTTTTTGTAGAGACAAGCGTTCACCATGTTGCCCAGGCTGGTCTTGAACTCCTCAGCCTCCCAAAGTGCTGGGATTACAGGTGTGAGCCACTACACCTGGCCAGGATTAGGTTCTTAAAATGTACTTTTAACATTGGGTACACTATGAATGCTGGAATTTTTATTTTTATTTTAAAATATCTGATCCAAAATATATTTTTATCTTGCCAATAAATTAATAATATGATATTAAAACTCAGATTACTGATCTCAGTAACTGACCAATGAAAATTCTGAGCCTGCCTTCTTTTTTTTTTTTTTGAGACGGAGTTTCGCTGTTGTTACCCAGGCTGGTGTGCAATGGCGCGATCTCGGCTCACCGCAACCTCCGCCTCCTGGGTTCAGGCAATTCTCCTGCCTCAGCCTCCTGAGTAGCTGGGATTACAGGCACATGCCACCATGCCCAGCTAATTTTTTGTATTTTTAGTAGAGACGGGGTTTCACCATGTTGACCAGGATGGTCTCGATCTCTTGACCTCGTGATTCACCCACCTCGGCCTCCCAAAGTGCTGGGATTACAAGCTTGAGCCACCGCGCCCAGCCCAAGCCTGCCTTCTTCCTCAGCCACCCCCAGCTCCACCAGTAAGAGGCCTAGATAGGGGTCACTGATACATGTAAAACATAAAAAGAAAACAACACCCCTGTGGGAGACACAGTTCATGATAAAGAGTGGAGAAGACAGGAAGAGTAGAGTATTGTCTCTGAAAGGGAGGGTTTCTTTCATTTGCTCACTCATTCATTCATTCATTCCAACAATGTTTCTATCTCTTTCTACTCCTCAGCCCCTCAGAAGGGTCTTATAATTGGTAGAAGAAACAGGTATATTAACCAATAATTACAGCATTATGAAAAGAGCTGCATTCCCTGGGGTGTGATATAAGGAAAACTCTTAACTGTACTTCTGGGTCATCAAGGCTTCAGTGCTTTAATATCAGAGAAGTGGATTTGATTTAAGATTTTTTTGTTGTTGAGACAGAGACTCATTCTGTCACCCAGGCTGGAGTGCAATGGCATAATCTTGGCTCACTGCAACCTCCGCCTCCCGGGTTCAAGCAGTTCTCCTGCCTCAGACTCCTGAGTAGCTAGGATTATAGGCGCAAGCCACCAGGGCCAACTAATTTTTTTGTATTTTTAGTAGAGGGGGTTTCACCATGTTGACCAGGCTGGTCTCAAGAATGTCTGACCTTGTGATCCGCCCATCTAGGCCTCCCAAAGAGCAGGGATTACAGGTGTGAGCCACTGCACCTGGCCTGATCTAAGATTTTAAGACAAAAAAAAAAAAAAGGTGCAATCAAAGCAAGGAACAACAGTACATACTTGGAGACAAAGAAGCACATGGCAGTTTGGAGCACTATGGGCCATTTGAACACAGAGTACATGTACTGTTTATATTTTTAAAGTTTTCTGTATAAGATGTTTTGCCATTTTTAAGAAACTTTCCCTTCTGGGGAGTGATTGTCCCTCCTGGGACTCCCCAGTTCTTCTAGACAGCAAAGGACTCAGGTAGGAGCATACCTTAGGTATACAAACTAGCCCTGAGCCACACCTCCTCTGTCTGGCCCTGAAACCCCTGGAGGCAATGTTCTTCATCCTTAAATCATCCCAGGACCAGGTAACAGGCAACTAGAAACAACCTCTGTAGTTTAGAGCACACTGAAATTATTCCAACAAGCCTATTCCAAACTTTTCCTACTGCTCTGCCTTGCCATTTCCTCGGAAACTCCAGTAAGCGCCCAGGCTCGCCCCTGGCTCCTGCTGCTCCTGCCTCCCGACGGGTGATTTCCCCACTGTGGCTGTGCATGGTGTGCTGTGCCTTCTGTTTCTAGGACCTGTGAGTGTAAGAAACTTTTTCGTGTGTCTCTTGTCATTTCTCACTGATCTCTATGTAAAAGAACACAGAACAGTACATTTGGGGGTTTTGGGGAGCGATGAGGTTGGAAAGGAAAAAACAGGAGTCACATCATTAAAGGCTTTTATGTTGGGCCACATCTCCATCACGTGGATAGGGTGTTTAACCAGGTTGGAGACTAGTGCTCCTGTTCTGTTGCCTGGCTGCATGTTGTGGTTTGCAAGCAAATGCATTGTCCGTAAAATAGGCACCAAACGTAGTAGTTGAGAGCACAGACCCTGGAGCCAGACTGGCCTGTGTTCAAGTCCCGGTTGTACCACTTACTGGCTGGGCAGTTTGACCTAGTCATGAAAAAATGTTCTCATCTGTAAAAGAGATAAATAGTACCTACTTCAAAGACTTAATTGGGAAGATTAAATGAATTATTGTGTGTACAGTGCTTAGAAAAGTGCCTGGCACATAGTAAATGATATGTGAGTATAAGCTGTGTAGTAGTACTAATAGTAGGAGTAGTTCCTATTAATATTTAGTGCAGAAAGAGAGACCCAGATTAACCACTGGAGACTACATTAAGACACTATCCACCGGGCACAGTGGCTTACACCTGTAATCCCAGCACTTGGGGAAGCCGAGGGGGACAAATCAGCAGGTTGGGAGTTTGAGACCATCCTGGCCAACAGGGTGAAACCCCATCTCTACTAAAAATACAAAACTTAGCTGGGCGTTGTGGTGTATGCCTGTAATCCCAGCTACTCCGGAGGCTGAAGCAGGAGAATCGCTTGAACCAGGGAGTCGGAGGTCACAGTGAGCTGAGATCACGCCACTGCACTCCAGCCTGGTGACGGCAAGACTCTGTCTCAAAAAAAAAAAAAAAAAAAAAAAAGACATTGTCTCATTGCTGGGTGTGCTAAAAGTAGCGGTAGACAAACTGCCTGCCACACAGTAGCCTGTGGGCTTTAAAAAAGAACTGCTTCTGTTATTTTTATGATGATTATTGCTTCTGTTGTATTATTGTTCCAAGGAATACATGGCTGTGGCCCAAGGATAAATAAGTGATCACAGATGATCAGTAGAATGAAGTCCAGGGCATGTCCACAGGTGTGTGGATATGTATATACACAGACATGGCAAAGGCAGCATGCAGTGCAGTAAGGGAAAAGTGTTTTTTAGATGTTCCATTGAATATCTCAGTGGAAAAAATGCATACCCCTATGTCACACTTACACAAAAATCAATTTCAGGTAGATGCTAGATCTGAATGTGAAAGGGTAAATGGTAAGTTTCTAGAAGATAAGGGAATACAGTCATGACTTTCATGTGGTCTTTTAGTTTTCTGTTTTGCTTTGAGACAAGGTTACTCTCTGTTGCCCAGGTTTGAGTGCAGTAGTGTGATCATGGCTCACTGTAGTCTTGTCCTCCCAGGGTCAAATGATCCTCCCACCTCAGCCTCCAGAGTAGTTGCGATTACAGGCACATGCCTCCATACTTGGATAATTTTAAATTTTTTTGTAGAGACAGAGTCTTACTATGTTGCCCAGGCTAAACTCAAATTCCTGGCCTCAAGCGATCCTCTGGCCTCAGTCTCCCAAAGCACTAGGATCACACACCTGTGTGTGAGCCACTGCACCCAGCCTGCCAAGATTTCTTAAACAAGACCCTAAAAAGGCTGGGCATGGTGGCTCACGCCTGTAATTCCAGCACCTTGCAAGGCCGAGGCAGGTGGATCACTTGAGCTCAGGAGTTCGAGACCAGCCTGGGCAACATGGTGAAATCCCATCTGTAGCAAAAATACAAAAATATTAGCCAGGTGTGGTGGCATGTGCCTATAGTCCTAGCTACTCAGGAGGGTGGATCGCTTGAGCCCACAGAGGTTGTAGTGAACCAAGATCACACACTGAACTCTAGCCTGGGTGACAGAGTGAGACCCTGTCTGTCTCAAATCAAGACCCAAAAAAGATGAACCATAAAAGAAAAGATTGATAAATTGGACTTTACAATTTGTGTTAAATTTACATTTATGTAAATTTATGTGTAAATTTGAAATTTACATTAAAATCAGGAACACTGAACATCAGAAGAAGACCCCATTGTAAGAATGAAAAGGCAAACCTCAATATATATAAGAAAAAAAAATTACAAACAGATTAGACAAAGCATCCTGTCCTGAATAAAGAAGTCATCAAATCAATAGGGAAGACAGACAACACAATAGAAAAATGGGCAAGACTTAAGTAG